CAACAAGTGAGACCCATTTCTACCAAAGAAAAAAGAAATTGAGTGTGGTGACACATGACTGTAGTCCCAGCTACTTGGGAGGCTAAGGCAGAAGAATTGCTTGAGCCTGGGAGTTCTAGGCTACAGTGAGCTATGATCACACCATTGCACCCCAGCCTGGGTGGCAGAGCAAGACCTACTCTTTATTTACTTATTTTTGAGACAGGGTCTCGCACTGTTGCCCAGGCTGGAATGCAGTGGCTTATGATCTTTGCTCACTGTAGCCTCGACTTCCTGGGCTCAAGTGATCCTCCTGCCTCAGCCTCCTGAGTGGCTGGGACTACAGGCTGGAAATCACCGTCCTGGCTAATTTTTTGTATATTTTGTCGAGATAGTATTTCACCATGTTGCCCAGGCTAGTCTCAAACTCCTGGCCTCGAGCAATCCTCCCACCTTGGCCTCCCAAAGTGCTAGAATTACAGGAGTGAGCCACCATGCCCGCCCTTAAGACTACTCTTTAAAAGTATTGAGATAAATATATCTCATGAAGTTTGCCTGTATTTTAGACGTAAAATCCCTTTTCATTTTTCCCATTTCCCTTTTTTGGAATGGAAATGTCTATACTGTGCCTGTCTCACCATTGTATTTTGGAAGTGCATAACTAGTTTGGTTTTACAGGTACACAACTGAAGAGCAGTTTGCTTCAGGATGAATCATACCTTCTTGAGTCTCACCTTTATCTGATGTAGATGACATTGAGATGACACTTTGGATTTTAGACTTTACAGTTGATGCTGGAACAAGTTAAGACTTTTAGGCCAGGCACGGTGGCTTACGCTTGTAATCCCAGCACTTTGTGAGGCTGAGGAGGGTGGATCACCTGAGGTCAGGAGTTCGAGACCAGCCTGGCCAACATGGTAAAACCCTGTCTCTACTAAAAATACAAAAATTAGCTGGGCATGGTGGCACATGCCTGTAATCCTAGCTACTTAGAAGGCTGAGGCAGGAGAATCACTTGAACCTGGGAGGCGGAGGTTGCAGTGAGCTGAGATCGTGCCACTGTACTCCAACCTGGGCAACAAGAGCAAAACTCTGTCTCAAAAAAAAAAAAAAAAAAAAAAAGACTTGAGATGTTGGTATGTAATGAATGTATTTTACATGTGAAAAGTACATGAGTTTGGAGTAGTGGAGTGGAGGAGCAGGGTGGGTGTGTCAGGATGCCATATACTGAATGTTTGTGTTGCTTCTGAACTCATGTTGAAATTTTAACCCCCAATGCTATGGTATTAGGAGGTGGGACCTTTGGGAAGTGATTAAGTCATAAGGGCAAGAACCTTTACCCGTGGGATTAGTCCCCGTGTAAGAGAGAGCCCCTGAGAGCTCCCTTGCCCCTTCTGTCATGTACGGTTACAGTGACAAGAGGGCAATCTATGAAGCAGGAAGCAGACCCTCACTAGACAGCACATCTGCTGGTACCTTCATCTTGGACTTCTCAACCTCCAGAACTGTGAGAAATGAATGTTTGCTGTTTATAAGCCACCCAGTTTATGATATTCTCTTATAGCAGCCCAAGCTAAGATAAGCTCTGTTCCAAACAGATTTGTATTTTAGCTTTATTTTCTTGAGTTATAAACATGTGCATGTTTACACCATGGATACATGCAAAAGTGATCATTGATTTTTGGTAACCAGAAAGAGTGGATATTAGTGTTGATGCATAGAATTGTTATTAAAAAGACTTGGTTTTTTTTCTTTTCTTTCTTTTTTTTTTTTTTTTTTGAGACAGAGTCTCACTCTGTCACCCAGGCTGGAGTGCAGTGGTACGATCTCGGCTCACTCTAACCTGCACCTCCCGAGTTCAAGCAGTTCCCTGCCTCAGCCTCCTGAATAGCTGGGGTTATGGGCACACACCACCACGCTTGGCTAACTTTCGTATTTTTAGTAGAGATGGGGTTTCACCATCTTGGCCAGGCTGGCCTTGACCTCCTGACCTCGTGATCCACCCGCCTCAGCCTCCCAAAGTGCTGGGATCACAGGCATGAGCCACTGCACCTGGCCAAAAAGATTTGTTTCTAAAGCAGTTGGTTTCACAGGGTTTTAATCATTTACTTGACATTTGACAGCTGTTCATATTAATTATCATACGGAATTTGAAAAGTAGATTTATTAACCAAAGTTGCTTCATTGATTTCTTCTTCATGATGTATGTTATATGCTGATATGTATGCTGATAGAAAATAAACCTATATTTAAATAAAGTATTATGTTAAAAATATACGCCTGGACCCAAAGTGGCCTTGCTGGAACCCTACTTAAGTCCCAGCAGGTTGATACTAGTTCATTTTCTCTATTTGTTTAACTGACTAAAGTATCAGAGTGCTGTAGCAGGTGATTTTTTGTTTTGCTCATGCTGATTTCTTTTTCTGAAGGGCAGGGATGTGTTTGTTGTGCCAAGTTCTTAAAGAGCAACCAGGCTTGCCAACAGGTTTGTGGAGATTCCCTGGGGGATGTCATGGAAGAGGACAGATTTGTAAACTAGTGATAATCAGGCTGCTTCAACCCCTTTGGAAGGTTTACAGGGCTGTTGATGATATATGCACTCCAGAGCTGGGAATTGTTTATGCACATCTCTTGGCCAGCTGTCAGGAAGATAAGAGCTGATCTTCTACTCCAAAGCCAAAGGAAGGGTAATAATATAGGATTCTGTTGGGTGGTGTCCAATGCCTGTTTCATTTATCTAGGAATTTTCTGTGTGTATATATGTACTTAAGGAAAGATAGAGCCATTCAGACAACTTAGACATATGTAGTTTGCTTTAACATATTATCAGGGACCCCTACATACTTGCATGTATACTTCCCTCCTGTCTTCTACTTTCTTTTAGCTTATCTCTTCTGCCAGGTCATAAGCCCCCAGCAAGATAGAGGAAGACCCCAGTTTGTAAGGGAAAAGTCCTCACAGATAATTAAGAGTTGCCTCTAGTCTAGGGCTAAGAGTTCAGAGACTTGGTCTATAGTTTCATTTTTGCCTTTAATTAACGATTTGACTTTTGATAAATCACCTTCCCTTGCAACTCCTCATCTGTGAAATGAGGGAGTTGGACAAGATGTTCACTTCAGTCCCTTACATCACCCAGGGTTCTGCGATTCTTTATTTGTTGAGGCTGCTACGAAAACCTGCAACATCCATTTACATGATGTACATTAAAGCTTCACTTACTGCTGGGGATACATTCTGAGAAGTGCATCATTAGGTGATTTCATTACTGTGCAAGCATCAGAGTGTACTTATTTACACCTAAACGGTATAGCCTACTACACACTGCAGATATATGGTATAACCTGTTGTTCCTAGGCTACAAACCTGTGCAGCATGTTACTGTACTGAATACTGTAGGCAGCTGTAACACAGTGGTAAGTATTTGTATATCTAAACATAGAAAAGGCATGGTAACAATATAGTACTGTAATCGTCTGGACTCACCATCATATAAACAGTCTGTTGGTGACCAAAGCATCTTCATGCAACACATGACTGTATTCTATCATTGAACACCACTGCAGATTACATTTATCTGTGGGCAAAAATTTGCAGTGCACGGTTGTCTCCATTGATGGATACTTTAATGAACGTTAAGATTTAGCATTGTGTGTTGTGTAAGAGAGCTATGCATAGTATTAAACTTGTCAGGGTTAGACAGCTATGGAATTTTTGCTCTTATTTCCCAGAATCTAAACATTGATTCAAATACTTCTCAAAGATAATGTTGGAATGAACTTTTGGAAAAAGCTTTGAAACCCTGAGAGTTGAGATTAAGTTTGTTTGTTTTTTCCTAGCTGTATTTCGTGTACTGAATGCCGTAGAGACTTGTGCCTAGGGATGGTAGCTTCTAGGGGGAAAAAAACTTTTAGACGTTACAGCTGCAAGACCTACTTACAGTTTTTTCATAAATACTGTGAATTAATAGATTAGTTAGGAAGCCTTTGGCTACACTTTGCATAGATTCCCACCTTAACTAACTTGAATAATAAGGGAATAGTTGATTCTGTAACTAAGTACGGAGGAATGGCAGACTTCAGGGTCAATTTAATTCAGTATCATAGGCTCTGCTTCTCAGGAATTCTGGAATTACCTCCTCTGTGCTCTCATTGTGACAGAATGATGATAGCGAATCTTTTTTACTTCATGTTAAATACTACATCATTGGAGTTTCTCAACCTTAGTACTTTTGGCATTTGGGGCCAGGTGATTCTTTGTTATTGTGGGAGTGTCCTGTGCATTGTAGGATATTTGGCAATATCACTGGCTACTACTTACTTAATGCCAATAGCACCTCAGCCCTGCATTGTGATAATCAAAAATATCTCCAGGATTGGGTGTGGTGGCTCATGCCTGTAATCCCAGCACTTTGGGAGGCTGAGGCAGGCGGATCGCTTTGAGCTCAGGAGTTCAAGACCAGCCTGGGCAACATGGTGAAACCCTGTCTGTACTTAAAATACAAAAATCAGCCAGTCATGGTGGCATACACCTGTAATTCCAGCTTCTCAGGAGGCTGAGGCTGGAGAATCGCTTGAGCCTGGGAATTGCACCACTGAGCTGAGATTGCACTACTGTACCCCAGCCTGGGTGACAGTGTGATCATCTCAGACAAAAGGTCCTCAGACATTGCCAAATGTTTCTTGGGGGACAAAAACACCCTGATTGAGAACTGCTGGTCTGAAAGAATATAGACCATTCCATCAGGTGGCTATCATAAGTGGGAGGCAGACCCCAAATTAACCCCCATTTGTTTCATTGGCCCATCCTGAGTTACTCCCTGATTCCTGAACCCCCATCGCCAGTGAGGGGGTTGGAATGTTCTTCAGACTCATCAGGGTACCTCTGGAGCTAAGAATGTGACTGTTCAGGGTAAGCTGAGTCTCTCGGCATGGTGGGTGGAAAGGGGAATGAGAGCTGGGTAGGAACTCAGTAATATCCATGACCACTGCACCCTAAATTTGCCCTTTTTTTCTTCCTCTCAGTGAGGATTATGGAAAGAACTTTAAGGATATTACAAATCTCATCAATAACACCTTTATTCGAACTGAATTTGGCATGGCTATTGGTCCTGAGAACTCTGGAAAGGTGAGACTCATTCTTAGATACATAAAGCTTGTGCTTGATACCACACGCAGGGCTGTCAGATGTTAGTATTGGCATGGTCCAGTGAAAAACACTAGTGTATTTTAGTTTAGTATTGCTATATGTATATTTTAAAATTAAACACAATTTTTTTAAGACAGGGTCTCACTCTGTCCCTCAGGTTGGAGTACAGTGGTAACGTCACAGCTCACTTCAGCTTGACCTTCCAGGCTCAAGGGATCCTCCCACCTCAGTCACTTGAGTAACTGGGACTACAGGCACTTGCCACCTCTCCTGGGTAATTTTTGTATTTTTTGTAGAGACAGAGTTTTGCCATGTTGCCCAGGCTGGTCTTGAACTCCTGGGCTCAAGCAATCCACCCATCTCAACCCTCTAAAGTGCTGGGGTTTACAGGCATGAGCCACTGTGCCGGCCTTAAACACAATTTAATACTGATCATATTAGAATGGAACTCTTGAGCACACAGATTTCTTTTTTTGTTCCCTGCCCAAGGTGCACCAAAACTCTTAATAATTATGCAGCACTTGCTTAACATTACAATGTATATTCCCTGTGACAACATTTTAATCTTTTGGAAAACTAATCTCTCTCAAGCCTAGGCTTAAATTCACAGATACGATGCCCCACTCAGTTCAGATGTTATTTTTTGATAAGACTAAGACCTAAGGAGTAGAATGGAAGCAACTAATCTGTTTTTATAACTCTTCTTACTTTTAGAGCTAAAATTTCTTAACCAATGTCTGGTGAAAATGGTGTAAGAACTTTTGTGCTTGCATAGATTGTGCTTACATAGAGAGTATCATACCCTGAATCAGATCTTTCCTCTTCCTGTCAGGTGGTATTAACAGCAGAAGTATCTGGAGGAAGTCGCGGAGGAAGAATCTTCAGATCATCAGATTTTGCGAAGAATTTTGTGCAAACAGATCTCCCTTTTCATCCTCTCACTCAGATGATGTATAGCCCTCAGAATTCTGACTATCTTTTAGCTCTCAGCACTGAAGTAAGTCCAGATGAGGAACATGGCTTACCTTTTGCATTTTATAGTCTCAAATATACTGTCTTATAAGGACTCTGTAGGAAATGCTTTTATATTAGACTTCTTTCTAGAATCTCCTTATGGCATGAAGTATGTATTTTTTTTTTTAACATTTTTTTTCTATTTGGTAAAAGACATGATTTCCATGTGCTATCTATTCCAGGTAAGTATGATGCCTAGTCATCATTGTAATTTTTTTAAGCAACTATATGGTATTGGAGTAATGAACTAGGAAACAGTTTAATCATTCTCGTGCTACAAGGGACAAGCATAAATTGTCAAACTTCTGATGTTATCATTGTTCCTTTCCTGTGATCAAACATCTTTCTAATTTTTTTTCTTTTTTGTTAGGTTCTCAGTTTATAAAACATATGGCTTTCAGTCTTTGACACTCATGTATTAAATGTCATGAGTATTTAAAGACTCACGTATCGGCCGGGCGCGGTGGCTCAAGCCTGTAATCCCAGCACTTTGGGAGGCCGAGGCGGGTGGATCACGAGGTCAAGAGATCGAGACCATCCTGGTCAATATGGTGAAACCCCGTCTCTACTAAAAATACAAAAAAAATTGGCTGGGCATGGTGGCGCGTGCCTGTAATCCCAGCTACCCAGGAGGCTGAGGCAGGAGAATTGCCTGAACCCAGGAGACGGAGGTTGCGGTGAGCCGAGATCGCGCCATTGCACTCCAGCCTGGGTAACAAGAGCGAAAACTCCGTCTCAAAAAATAAAAAATAAAAAATAAAAAAAAAATAAAGACTCACGTATTAAGAGTCTTAAATCCCTGCGTTCCCCACCACATTCCTATACTTTCCACAGAAACCAGTGTGTCTCCCTGACCCTCCCACTTCTCTTCTGAAAGTTCTTTGATGAACACATTCAGCTTCTCCTTTCCGGGAGGACCAGTCTCCTTTACTGTGGTTAAGGGCCCAAAGTGTCTGAGTTGCTAGACTGTAATCAGAATTATACTTTACATTTTTATGGCCTTTTCTCATCAGATAGAAACACCTGAGGAACGAGTTCAAGAGGCACATCCCTTTGTCCAAATCCCGATATAATAAATCAATGACTTCTGTTGTGGGGTGGCTAATATTTTTAACAGGCTCCCGAGCTGAGCCTGAGCACCAAAGTTTGAGAGTCATTGCTGTGCTGACTGCTTTGGGATCAGAAACAAGATCAACTGTGAACTAGTCAGGCTGAGCAAAGGTGACATAGGGAGGATGAAGGGCACTGGAAGAGAGGTCTGGGTTCGGGGCTTTTTTTTTTCTTTTTTTTTGAGACAGAGTCTCGCTCCATCACCAGGCGCCAGGCTGGAGTGCAGTGGCACCACCTTGGCTCACTGCAACCTCCGCCTCCTGGGTTCAGGCAATTCTTCTGCCTCAGCCTCCCAAGTAGCTGGGACTGCAGGCGCGTGCCACCACGCTGGGAGATTTTTTGAGCATAGATGGGAGGGGCTCCAGAAGGGTCAGAGTTTTGCTTAGCAGTGGAGGCCAGAGGAAGGAAACTAGCTTGCTGGGGAGTAAGCTTCAGATGTTAGAACAACAGTTCCTGGATATTGGCCTCCAGCAGCTTAAGCTGAAAGCGCTCCAAGGGAGTAAGAAGCCCTCCCTAGGAATGAACAGACCCGCAGATCTGCCCTTTGACCACCGCATCTCCTTTATCAAATGTCTCAGGTTTATTAAAACAGCAATGTCCTCAGGAAGGGTACGTCTGAAGTACATATAATTGGGGTGGAGAAGAGGGACCAATTTGTACTAAAGTGCGAATCAGTGATATCAGATTCTGTCTTGTCTTTATAAGTAGAATTAGGTAAATTAGAAATACTGGGATGTGAATGCTACCAGGCGAGAAGAAGTTAAAGGAGAGTGGTAGGTGAGAGTACAGGAGTACCGAAGGTAAATTGTGCCTAAATAAGTTACATTTAATTTCAGCTAGACTAGGACATCTCTGTCCCATCTCCACTGAGGCCGAGCTCAGTAAGCTCACATTGCCAGTGTCATGTCATGTCTGTCATCATTTTTTCGGGTTTTTGCTGCATTTCAAACTATTGGCCAATCCCTCCTTTTGAGAATGCTAATTGTTTGACTTCGGTGACCTTCATTCCTTTTAGTTCTTCTACCATTCTAGCTATTCCTTCTTAGTATTTCCTTAACCTCCTTTCAACCTACCCTTAAATGCCTACTGCTCATTTCACTGAGCAGTCTCTTCCACTCTTACCATTTTACTACCACCGGCTATAATTTTTGAGATTTTCAAATCCTTATCTCTAGCCCTGGCTTTCCCCCAATGCATCATATTTCTGTCTTGCTGCCCTCTGCATATCTCTGGTTGGATGTCCCACAAGCACCTTAAATCAATTTAAAACTGAGCTTCCTCCCTACTCTTCTCAGACATGATCTTCTTCCCTTAATCCTTATACTAGTTAATGATATCACAATGCATCCTGTACCCCAACCAGAAAACCAGAGTGATCAACTTAGACACGCATGTGTGCACACACACCCCTACCTTTTATCCTGCCCTGCAGGAAAAGTCGTCCATTTCTACTATGCTAGCTTCTAAATTCTTACAGAGCCTGTTTCTCGTGGCCAGTGTTCATACCTCATTAGCTCTTATTGAACTAATGCGGCAGTCATTCACTGCTTTTCCTGCCTCTAGTCTGGACCCTCTGAAATCCATCTTTCCCATTCTCATCCAAGTATTCCACCTAAAAAAGTGAAACGGACTGTGTCATCCTCCTGCTTAGCACACATTCCTCCTGAGAGCACCTCATATGCAATAAACCCCGGAGCCCTAAGCGGGTCACAGAAGGAAGGTTCTCTGTGAGCTGGCCTCACCTTTCTCCCTAGCGTTAGTTTCTCATTTGCTCACCTTGGAATTTGCACTCCAGTAATGTCTGATGGCGTTTAGCTCCCTGCACACACTGCAGGGTTTGTGACCTCCTCGCCTTTGCTAATACTAGTCTCTATTTGTGCAGCAACACCTCATCTCCCAGTTTGCCTTCTTTTGGTACCACTGCTCATCATTTAAAACTCAGTGCAGCTGTCTTCTTCAGGAAACTATCTCTCATGTAGTGCCCCTCCTCTCCCCACTTCTACGCTAGACCACATTTTATAACTCTGCATAGTGTTGAACTTTCTTCTTATCTATGCCCCTTGTTAAACTTTGAGCCCTTGAGAGCAGGGAGTGTCTTATTCATCTTTGTATCCGCAGTGCAACATCCGTACAGTGCCTTGCATATAGTAGGCACTTCATACACATTTGTTATTCTGAACTTGCAAGACCCCGAAAGGGTCCAGATAAGCCATGTGTGCATCTGTGGAGCTTGGGCAGCTCTGATGGAGCTTCCGTGTTTGTTTTTACTGTCCTGAATGATTGAATATGAATTATTAAAGGTCATACAAGCAACGGCACAGGATAAAGCTAGAATTTTGATAAGTCATTTATAATCTTTCAGAATGGCCTGTGGGTGTCCAAGAATTTTGGGGGAAAATGGGAAGAAATCCACAAAGCAGTATGTTTGGCCAAATGGTGAGTAACAGAAGACTCCATCTGTGCGGAGCCCTAAACCCTTCCTGATAGTGCTGCCAAAAATCACATGAATGAATATTGAGCACTTAACTATGTGCCAGGTACTCTTTAGGGTGCCATAAGGGATATCAGAGAGGGGTGTGACACAGGCCTTGAGCTGGAGGAGCTTCTCATTCTGCTGGAAAAGAAGACTTAGTCTCACTTAAACATTAGAACATAAAGTATAAAACAAGGCATGTGACTGAGTTGCTGCTGCCTTCCCAGGGTTTATTCTCTATGAATGGTGACATCAATTGGAATAAGCAAAATATAGCTTTAATTTAGGGATTTAAATACTTCTCTGTGCCCAGATTTACACTCTGTTGTCTAGAGTTCCATTTCAGTCATGTAGAACATGACAAGGAATCAGGAAGAAAGCTGAAAGAGCTTCTAGACTCCCAATTCACGCTGCACTCTAAAACTCATTCACTTCTCTCAGAGAGACGCCCTGCCCCTCTGGGTGCCTACTTAAAGAGGATGGAGTGGAGGGAGCTCTCACTTGGGAGTCTCGTTACCTTTGTTCTATCCTCACTCTGCTGCTACTCAGGGGCTCAACCTTTCTGGGCTTTAGTTTTTTCCTTTTGTGAAGGGAGATTTATTTGGAGAATATGGGGATGGCTAAGCAAGAATTGAATTAAGAGACTTCATGCCTCCAAAATCTGATTAGGCTCAGAATGTTGTTTAGAGCCTCTTTCTCCTTCCCCTTTGACTAATTTCAGCTTATGTGTGAATCCCAGTTTACAGCAGATTGGTTCCAGAGGTGGGGTGTGTAGCTGCTGCAATAAGCATGTAGCAGCATTAGAATTACAGCGTGAGAGCTGGAAGGAGATGGAATTACTATGAAAGAGCAGGCAAAAACTTAGAGAATGTAACAGTATGAAATTATTTAGTGCTAGATCAAGAAAGTACACTTATGTTAGTAGCTTCTAATGGGAACACTGTGTTATGGTTTGATAAAATTGATGTTCATGATGATGACCCACAATCCCAAGAGTTTCCTGTACTCTGGGAATCAGGAAAGTGTGGAATATGTCTACCAAGATTGATTAAAATATTAAATATGTTGCTTAAACAAAGTGGGCCTTTTCTAGAAATGTTTCTTGTGTTTGAGATAGGGTATTGCTTTTTCGTCCAGGCTACAGTACAGTGGCACAGTCATGGTTCACTGCAGCCTTGACCTCCTGAACTTAAGCAGTCCTCCCCCTGCCTCAGCCTCCAAAGTAGCTGGAACTATAAGCACGTGCCACCATGTCTCTCTAATTTTTGTATTTTTATTTTTTAGAGATGAGGGGTGTCACTGTCAAACTCCTGGACTCAAGCAGTCCTTCCTCCTCAGCCTCCCAAAGTACTGAGATTATGGGTGTGGACCACCATGCCTAGCCCCAGAAATGTTTTTTTATGAGGTTTTTACAGCACCACTCTGGTACACATGCCACATTTGCTTTCATTTTATGTATTTTAATGAATTGTGTTTGTACCTTATACAGTTTTATCAGGAAGGAAGTAATTTTTTTTTTTTTTGAGACAGAGCCTTGTTCTGTCACCCAGGCTGTAGTGTAATGGCATGGTCTCGGCTCACTGCAATCTCCGCCTCCCAGGTTCAAGTGATTCTCCTGCCTCGGCCTCCTGAGTAGCTGGGATTTCAAGCACAAGCCACCACACCCAACTGATTTTTGTATTTTTACTAGAGATTGGGTTTCACCATGTTGGCTACGCTGGTCTTGAACTCCTGACCTCGTGATCTACCCACCTCTGCCTCCCAAAGTGCTGGGATTACAGGTGTAAGCAACCACGCTAGATGAAAGTAATTTTTATGATAACTAAGTTAAATTGTTTCACTCCTAATGGACCTAAAACATGTAGGTCATGTGTAAATAAGACTTCATAATTTTTTTTTTTTTTTTTGGAGATAAGGTCTGGCTCTGTCACCCAAGCTAAAATGTGGTGGCACGATCTTTGATCACTGCAGCTTCTGCCTCCTGGGCTCAAGTGATCCTCACACTTCAGTCTCTCCAGTAGCTGGGACTACAGGCATACACCTGGCTAATTTTTGTTAATTTTTAATCATTAAAACTCATCTTTAGGCACGTGCAGTGGCTCATACCCATAATCCAAACACTTTGGAAGGCTGAGATGGAAGGATCGCTTGAGACCAGGAACTCAAAACCAGCCTGGGCAATATAGTGAGACCCCATCTCTACAAAAAATTAATACAAAGAAAGAAAAAAGAAAAGCATGGTGATGCACACCTGTAGTCCTCACTATTCAAGAGAATGAGGTGGGAGGATTGCTTGAGCTGGGGAGTTTGAGGCTGCAGTGAGCTGTGATTGCTCCACCGCACTCCAACCGGGGTGACAGAGCAAGCCTCCATCTGTTAAACAAAAACTTATCTTTAAAATTAAAAAGCGATTTTTCAAATAGTATTTTGTATCCTATGCAAGGATTTTACTTTTGTAACATGTTTCTTTGTTTAGTGTCTAAATATGGATAACCAGGCTGCTGCTAACTGTTCACTTACGCTTTTTGATCTTTAGTTTCTAGGAATTTACAACCTAAAGTTCTGAAAGAACATGCTCAGAACCAACACCTTTTTTTGGTTGTAATCTAATAAGCCCCAGCAGGGTCTAAATCTAGTTCCCTGCAAGCTCCCTTTCCAGGTTACATTTTAAATAATTCAACCTCTGACCTAGTTGTCTATTTGAGATGGAAGAACTAAATTATTTAGCTCATACAAAGCATTGAACTAGATTCTGAACTAGATTCAGCAAAGCATAGTACCTGCTCTGAAGAAGCTAATTTATATAGTAGGAAAGGCAAGGCATATACTATGCAATTAAAATTTAAAAACAGGAGGCAAATGCACGCCAAGTGGCTGTGCAGACAGTATAGTGCTCTAAAACAGTTTCTCAACCTCAGCACCAATGACATTTTGGGTCAAAGAATTCTTTATCGTGGAGGGCTGTTCTGTGCATCATAAAATGTGTAGCAGCATCCCTGGCCTCTACCCAGTAGATGCCAGTAACAACTCCCCCACCCACCTACCCCCCAGTTGTGACCATCAGAAATGTCAGAGGCAGATGTGGAGAGGGTGAGTAGACCAGGATGACTGGCTGAAAGAGTTCACGTAAAGAAGTGGTAGTCTGCGGGGAACATGTGGACTGGGCAGTTGGGGAGCTTGACGGTCAGAGCTGTGAAGGACCAGGGCTCAGCACCTGAGAGGTGGTGCTTGTTGGTGCCTGTGAATGAAGCTTGTTAGACTGCTAGGAGGTTGGTGAATAAGGTCGACACAGTTCTTCAGCAATCTTAAACCATTTCCTCTCCCCATTTTTGCCTCATTGTAGGGGATCAGACAGCACCATCTTCTTTACCACATATGCGAATGGCTCCTGCAGTAAGTATATTTTAGTCCGAGAAAATAGTGTTCTGTTGTCCATTCGTGGTAGAATTTTCTGCATTGTGCGAAGTAGAAACATAAAAGATCCTTCCATTCTCCTGAAATTGTAATAGCTAAAGATAGCTGTTAGTGATTATTAAAATCTTGAAAGTAAAACCAAATTACTGCACTACCCAGATCAAATAAAAATATAGGCTCTACGTAGAAGCAGTATTTAATCTTAGCAATGTATTTACATAAAGCAAATATCATGCTACAGACAATAGCAAATTGAAATGCATAGTGATTTCTGCAGAAAAGCATGGGTTGTGTTTATATTGGCAGACGCAACTGGCTTCCCAAACTATGACACAATTTCTTTTTTTTTTTTTTTTTTTTTTTGTGATGGAGTCTCACACTGTTGCCCAGGGTGGAGTGCAGTGGCAGGATCTCGGCTCACCGCAACCTCCGTCTCCCAGGTTCAAGCGATTCTCCTGCCTCAGCCTCCCGAGTAACTGGGTTTACAGGCACCTGCCACCACACTAGGCTAATTTTTGTATTTTTAGTAGAGACGAGGTTTCACTATGTTAGTCAGGCTGGTCTCGAACGCCTGACCCATGATCCACCCACCTCTGCCTCCAAAAGTGCTGGAATTACAGGTGTGAGCCACCACGCCCAGCCCTGTGATACAATTTGAAAGCAGAAAGCAAAATCTTTCATTTACTCATTCAACAGGTATTTGAGCACCTACTCATAAGCTAAACACTATTCTAAGAATGGAGAGAACAAAACACCCAAGGCCTGCCCTCATGGAATGTAAATTCAAGTAGGGGTGTTGGATGATAAACAAGAAAACCAGAGCACAAGCTGGGCATGATGGTTGTAGTCCCAGCTACTTGGGAGGCTGAGACGGCAGGATTGCTTGAGCCCAGAAATTCAAGGACAGCTTGGGCAATGTGGCAAGACCCCAGCTCTTAAAAGAAAAGAGAAAACTCAAGACAATTTAAAATAGGATAAGATCATTCCAAACTGTGCCATGAAGAAAGTAAAGCAGCATGCTGTCACTTTGATGTTTTTATGAAACACTGTATTGGTATTAGGTAATCTCTTATCTTTCCATCAAGCATAAAATCTCAAACGTATAAAATAAAACCCAAGCCAGGCACTATAGCTCACCCCTGTAAACCCAGCACTTTGGGAGGCCGAGCCTGAGTAACATGGAGAAACCCCGTCTCTACTAAAAATACAACGTTAGCCGGGCATGGTGGCGCATGCCCGTAATCTCAGCTACTCAGGAGGCTGAGGCAGGAGAATTGCTTGAACCTGGGAGGCAGAGGTTGCAGTGAGCTGAGATCACACCGTTGCACTCCAGCCTGGGCAACAAAACGAAACTCCGTCTCAATCAATCAATCAGTCAATCCCAAATATGAATTCCCTATATCTGATACTGTATCACATTTTATGTTGTCACTTTATTAACATGCATAGTATTTTAAATGCTTAGCTATAAAATTAAGACTAATTCTAAAACAATTGCTTTGAACTAGACTAACCAGTAAGTGAAATTTTAATTAATATTTTGTCTTGTTTAAGAAGCTGACCTTGGGTCTCTGGAATTATGGAGAACTTCAGACTTGGGAAAAAGCTTCAAAACTATTGGCGTGAAAATCTACTCATTTGGTCTTGGGGGACGTTTCCTTTTTGCTTCTGTGATGGCTGATAAGGTAAGTATTTCCCTTTTCTTTTTGGGGTCTGATATTTCTGCAAATATCTCTCATGTAGATTATCTTTATTACTTGGCACTGACAGAGTTTCTTGTCTATTTGCTATATTTAATACCACTGTTAAGTGTTGGGGCTGATTCTTTTCGCAGAGGATGATTAACTCTGATAGGCTACTCTGCACTTTGGCCTCCTGCCACCATGTGAATTCTGGCATCTTTTTTGGGATTTTTTTTTTTGTTTTTGAGACAGAGTCTTGCTCTGTTGCCCAGGCTGGAGTGCAGTGATGCAATCTTCGCTCACTGCAGCCTCCACCTCCCAGATTCAAGGTATTCATCTGCCTCACCCTCCCAGGTAGCTACTACCACAGGTGTGCGCTACCACACCTGGCTAATTTTTGTATTTTTAGTAGAGATGAGGTTTCACCATGTTGGCTGGGCTGGTCTTGAACTCCTGACCTCAGGTGATCTGCTCACCTCGGTCTCCCAAAGTGCTGGAATTATAGGCGTGAGCCACTACATCCAGCCAGGATGTTTTGATCCAGTGTTTGAGCATTACTCAGACATGGACGTCTGTAGAAAGCAAACTCCTGCTCATTATCCAAGAATAAAAATACAATTAGATAACATTAACTGAGTGCCTACTCTATGCCAGGTACTATTCTATGTCCCAGGAATGTGGCAGTGAACAAAACAGGTAAATTTCTTGTTCTGAGAACTTATATTTAAGGGGGAAAATAAATACTCAAAAAATAAATATGAAGGCTGGGGGTGGTGGCTCACGCCTGTAATCCCAGCACTTTGAGAGGCTGAGACAGGTGGATCCCTTGAGCCCAGGAGTTCAAGACCAGCTTGGACAACATGACAAAACCCTATCTCTACAAAAAATAGAAAAATAAGCTGGGCATGGTGGACATGGTAGTGTGCGGCTGTAGTCTCAGCTACTTGGGAGGCCAAGGTGAGGGAATCACCTGAGCCTAGGAGGTTAAGGCTGCAGTGAGCTGTGATCACACCTGGGTGACAGCTCAAGACCCTGTCTCATAAATAAATATAAATATGTATATGTGTGTGTGTGTGTATATCCGGTAATTAAAACGGGGTGAAACCCCATCTCTACCAAAAATATAACAGCCATATTTTTTGAAATACAATCTAAAGCAGAGTAAGGAAACAGTGTCAGGAGTCAGTGCTCTTTTGACAGGGTGTTTAGGATGGGCTCTCGGGGACCTAAGTGAACTGAGAGCATGACCGTGTGGCCATCTGGGAGGAGAGTAGGAGGAGGCACAGCCAGTGCGGAGACCCTCAGCCTGGAGCATGCTTAATCAATCTAAGCAAAGGGGAGAAGGGCAGTATGAGGGGAGCACAGAGAAGAGTAGTCCAAAGTGGGACCACGGCGGGCCCGACCAGACCTTACATGGCCTTTCTAAGTCACAATTAAAATGTGGGCTTTACTCTTCCTGTGCTGGGAGCTGTGGGAGGGTTGTGAGCAGAGGAATGCTGGGATTTGGCTTCCCTTTGAAGAATAGATGTGCACAGAACAGCCTGACAGGGGCACGCACGGAAGCAGCAGGAGTGCCAGGAGCTGTCTCAGGAGTCCAAGCCAGGGAGGTGGTAGCTGGGCCAGGCCCTTGGCAGTGGGCGAGACTATGGATATATTTATAAGCATATTGCTAATAGGACTTGCTGATGGATTTGATGTGGGTTGTGAGAGAATGAGCAGATTCAAGGGTACCTTCAGAGTCTTCATCCTGAGCCCCTGAATGGTGGTGCCATTTCCTGGGATGGCAAAGACTGCAGAAGGAGCAGGTTGTGGGAGAAAAATCAGGAATTCAGTTTTGGGCCTGTAATCCCAGCTCTTTGGCAGGCCAAGGCAGGCAGATCACTTGATGTCAGGAGTTTGAGACCAGCCTTGCCAACATGGTGAAACCCTGTTTCTACTAAAAAATACAAAAAATTAGCCGGGCGTGGTGGCACGCACCTATAACCCCAGCTACTTGGGAGGCTGAGACATGAGAATCACCTGAACTCTGGAGTTGGAGGTTGCAGTGGCCAAGATCATGCCACTGCACTCCGAGTGAGACTGTCTCAAAAAAAAACAAAAACAACAGCAACAAAAAAAAAAATTCAGTTCTGGATATGAGACATGTATTAGATATCCGAATGGAGATGTTAAGTGAGCATTTGAGTATATGAATCTTCCTAATTGCTATGGTATTTGAAGCCATGTGACTAGATGATACCTTGTGGAGGAGTAAGTAGGTAGCAAAAAGGTGGGAGGACCGAGCAATCCCTGAAGCACCCACGACTGAAAGGTTGGAAAGAGAAGAATCCAGCAAAGAAGACTGGGAGGGAGAAGGAAATCAGCACTATCGAGTTAGGTGGCCTCTTTCCAGCCCATGCCTATTCCCTTCCTCCTGGCCATTCTGAGAGACTTCCTTAGAGAGGAGGTGTGTTACATCTTGACTTTTCTTGTGATCTCCCAAACATGGGTTTCATCTCTATTTTCTAGACTCTTAATTATATAGTGATTTAAATTATGCAAGGACTGTCTGAAAGGGACCAAACTTTTACACAGCAGTCATCATTTTAAGAATTATTGGAGTGAGTATATGCAAATGGCTGTAAAGGCAGCCTAGTAATGTTCCCATCAAATCCTTAGCTCTGCGGAAGGAGATGGACTATCAGAGATCAGGACATATAGTATGTTACAGGGCTGCATCAGAGTGAAGAATTCAAAGAGAAAGCCAAGATAGCCTTATTTAGAACAGAATGGATTGTTCTATTACCTACAACTTTGCTAGCAGCTAGAAATTGCTTCGGTAATTGGTACTATGACCTTTCATTTATAGCAATTGTACCCAGTGGAGAAATTGATAATAGTAATTATTTAAAATATTCTTGGGCCTGTGCAGTGGCTCATGCCTGTAATTCCAGCACTTTGAGAGGCCAGGGCGGGCAGATCACAAGTCAGGAGTTCAAGACCAGCCTGGTCAACATGGTGAAATCCTGCCTCTACTAAAAATATAAAAGTTAGCTGGGCATGGTGGTGCATGCATATAATTCCAGCTACTTGGGAGGCTGAGGCAGGAGAATTGCGGGAACCGGGACCCAGGAGATGGAGGTTGCAGTGAACCGAGATTGTGCCACTGCCGCACTCTAGCCTGGGCTACAGAGTGAGACTCGGTCTCCAAAAAAAGAAAAAACATTCTTGTTCGTGTCCCTGCACGTGGCATCTTGGCAGAAAATTAGAAAGATAAATATTGGCATCTGTTCTAGGATACAACAAGAAGGATCCACGTTTCAACAGATCAAGGGGACACGTGGAGCATGGCCCAACTCCCCTCTGTGGGACAGGAACAGTTCTATTCTATTCTGGCAGCGAATGATGACATGGTATTCATGCATGTAGATGAACCTGGAGGTAAGAGCTTTTTGGTGGCCCACCCTTGAAAGCATAGAGATGTAAACTTTGAGCAGCTTTCCTTTTTACATGTTGAGTTTTCCCCTTACCCCTAGAAATTTATTGGTGTCATACTGATTATTCTGTCCTAGAAATCATCTGTGGCCGCTGTTAAAAATGCCACTTGTTTTGGTGCTCTGAGGTAGATTGTGCGTATGTTCAGGTGTTCTAGAGCAGAGCTGCTCAAAGAATGGTCAGCAGACTGGTACTGATGTGCAAACTTCCTGTTACCAGATAAGTACAGAGATTGAGAGCAAGAGTTTAGAAACTCTTCTGGCCCTTCAACAAAGCAATTTTATGTCTGTTGGATCTAATGATAAAAAATTAGGGGTCTGTATTTTGTCTGACTTTTCATTTTCTAATGATTAGTTTTTTAATTATGTTTTACAAAAGTGTCGGTTTGTGACATATTGGAAATCTGGTGCGATCTCAGCTCACTACAACCACTGCCTCCTGGGTTCAAGTGATTCTCCTGCCTCAGCCTCCTGAGCAGCTGGAATTACAGGCGTGCGCCACCACACCCAGCTCATTTTTTGTATCTTTAGTAGTGACAGGGTTTCACCATGTTGGCCAGGCTGGTCTCGAACTCCTGACCTCATGATCCTCCCTCCTTGGCCTCCCAAAGTGCTGGGATTACAGGCATGAGCCACTGCACTGGCCGGAAGTCTTACAAATTGATCCTTCACTATAGATAGTTTAAAAAGCATTGTTCTAGAGTGTAAAGATTTAGAGATGTGTAAACTAAACACAGAAACTGTCCCACCAAAATATATCTGGGAAGAGCTTTCTGTAGCATCCGATTAATTTATTCAACAAACTCAGCATCTGGCGTATTCCAGGCACTAGCTGGGTACTAGAATTAAAGATGGGCATAAAGATCTTGAGTATCAAACCTTGATTAATTCTCAGGTCTGAGTCTTCATAATGAAGAGACACAATTGGCTACTGTGTTTGGTCGGGCAGACAATCGTGTGTGGTTAGACTATTGTTTTTCTCTTTGGTTCCACCCAAGACTTAGTGTTTTTGTTTGTTTGCTTATTTCAGACACTGGGTTTGGCACAATCTTTACCTCAGATGATCGAGGCATTGTCTATTCCAAGTCTTTGGACCGACATCTCTACACTACGACAGGCGGAGAGACGGACTTTACCAACGTGACCTCCCTCCGAGGCGTCTACATAACAAGCGTACTCTCCGAAGGTGAGTCTGGGCATCACAGTGCTGCCCTGCACCTTCAGCCTCATGTGGTAGGATTTGAGGCTTCAGGGGAACCTGTCCCCCGTAACATCACTTGCCAAGCCAAGCCTACCTGTGTACATTTTTTACTTGTCTTTTTTTTTTTGAGACGCAGTTTCGCTCTTGTTGCCCAGGCTGGAGTGCAGTGGCACAATCTTGGCTCACTGCCACCTCTGCCTCCCAGGTTCAATAGATTCTCCTGCCTCAGCCTCTCCCAAGTAGCTGGGATTCTAGGCATGCACCACCATGCCTGGCTTTTGTATTTTTAGTAGCGGCAGTGCTTTGCCATGTTGGTCAGGCTGGTCTCGAACTCCTGACCTCAGGTGATCCACCCGTCTCGGCCTCCCAAGTGCTAGGACTACAGGCATGAGCCATTGTGCCTGGCCTGTTTCCTTTTTTTTATTGTGGCAAAATATATCTAACAAAATTTGCAGTTTTTAACATTGTATAGGGTACAATTCAGTAGCATTAAGCATAGTCACAATGTTGTGCAACCATCACCCGATTTCTAGAGCTTTTTCATCATCCCAAATAGAAACTGCACCAGGTGCACAACCACTCCTCATCCCCACCCAGTCCACAGCTCTGGTAACCAACATTCTATTTTGTCTCAATGAATTTGCCTGTTATAGGTAGCTCATGCAAGCAGAATCAGACACTATTGGTTTTTGTATGTCTGGCTTCTTTCACTTTGCATATTATTTCAAAGTTCAACTATATTGTAACATGTTTTAGAATTTCATTTATTCCTTTTTAAGGATAGAATATATTCCTTTGTTTGAATATAGTACCTTTTATTGTTTTGTTTTGTTTTTTTCTTTTTTGGAGATGGAGTCTTTCTCTGTTGCCCAGGCTGGAGTGCAGTGGGATAGTCTCGGCTCACTGCAACCTCTGTCTCTTGAGTTCAAGCAATTCTTCTGCCTCAGCCTCCCAGATAGCTGGGATTACAGGCATGCCCCACCACACCTGGCTAGTTTTTGTATTTTTAGTAGAAACGGGGTTTTGCCATGCTGGCCAGGCTGGTCTCCAACTCCTGACCTCAGGTGATCTGTCTGCCTCGGCCTACCAAAGTGCTGGGATTACAGACGTGAGCCACCGTGCCTGGCCTATTTTTCATTCATCCATTGATGGACAGTTAGGCTGTTTCCATTTTTGTCTCTTACCAATAACGAATGCTGCCATGAACATTGGTATACATGTAACTGTTTAAGTTGTTGCTTTCAGTTCCTTTCGGGATATATGTAGGAGTCAAATAGGAGGATCACATGATAATTCCATGTTTCAATTTTGGAGGAATTACCAATGGGTTTTCCACATGATTGTACCATTTTACATGCCATACAAAAGTATTCCAATTTCTCTACTTCATTGCTAACACATTATATTCTGTTATTTTTATAACAGCTATCCTAGTGGGAGTAAAGTAGTATCTTGTTTATGGCTTTGATTTGCATTTCTGTAATGACTGATGTTGTTGAACAACTTTTTATGTTCTCGTTGGCCATGTGAATATCTTCTTTAAAGAAGCTTCCATTCAAGTCCTGTAGATAGAAGAGATTTTTAAACTTGTGTTCACTGATGCTTCTCTGGTGCTTATGACAATTTTGGCACATAGTAGATGCTCAGTAATATTTGCTGAATGAGTCTGTGAATAAACAGCTGAACAGCCTTGCACTCAAAACCAGACAATGAACGCACCCTAAAAACATTTAAGACTGAGCCTGAAGTGTGATAGGCAGGAATGGGGAGGGAAGGGCATTTTCAGCTGAAGGAACTACACATGCAGAGTATCAAAGTCACAGGAGGGTTTGGGCTGGTGGTTGTGGTGAGACATTGGCTGATGCCGGGGGAGAAGGGATCAGGAGGAGAGTCCCGCAGGGACAGACCAAACCCATGCAAATTCTGGCTCCCAATTTTAAATAAGTTATGGTAAATAGAACTAGGAGTGAGCAGAGCAATGGCAAGTAGAAAGAAAGGTGTTTTGAGTCTATGTTGTTTAGGTTATAAAATGAGTCTTCTATATTGGGAGATGTAGGCCTATGAGAATAAGCCTGAATTTGACCCACTTCCTGCTCTTCTTGTTAAGGGCACAGCAATAGCCAGCCAAGGTTCCCTGTGTTCTACTCAGTGGCTATACAGAGCTCACCTTTCCTTAGGCCCCATTATACAAATAAACACATTAATCTCCAGTACAAAGACTCTTGAAGTGTCATTTTATTTACATATTTATTTTTCGGTAGGAGGTAGGGCCTGTTTTTATTTTGTAAAGCTCTGGCAGTGGCTTACAAGGTCCTGGAGATGTGGCTCCAGGTTTCCTCCCTGACTCATCTCCAGCTCTTCTCTTTCCATCTGCCCTACTCTCATCACACTGTCTACCTGCCAGTTCTTAACACACCAGGTACACATGCACGTACATGGATTAGAGATTTGCACCACAGTTCCCTCTGCCTCTCCAGAAAGCAACAAGGCTGATGATATGTCTGTGCTCATGTGTTACTTTTTGAATGAGACCTGCCCTGACTGTGCTATTTTAAATTCCAGTTTGCTCTCCCCTTCTCACGCATACACTCTCAATCCACCTTTAGCTGCGCAAGTTTTTCCATAGTACTTATTTTCTAGCATACTACATAATTTACTTATTTACTATGTCTAGTGCATGTCTCACCCTACTGGAATGTATTTTTCACAGTATTTTTTTTGTCTGTTTTGTTCACTGATATATTCCCAAAGGCTTACAAAAAGTTTTCATATCAGGCACAGAGGCTCACGCCTGTAATCCCAGCACTTCGGAAGGTCAAAGTGGGCAGAACACTTGAGGTCAGGAGTTTGAGACCAGCCTGGCCAACATAGTGAAACCCCATCTCTACTAAAAATACAAATTAGCCAGGCCTGGTGGCATGCAGCTGTAGTCCCAGCTACTCAGGAGGCTGAGGCATGAAAATCTCTTGAACTTGGGAGGTGGAGGTTGCAGTGAGCCAAGATGGAGCCACTGCAGTCAAGCCTGGATGATAGAGCAAGACTCTGTCTCAAAAAAAAAAAAAGTTTTCACATAGTAGGCACTCAGTAAATGTTTGTTGAATAAGTGAATTTTCGTTTATTTGCTTTCTTGTTTGCTTTTTCTTAGAAAACTCAAGGCCAGGCACGGTGGCTCACACCTGTACTCTTAGCACTTTGGGAGGCTGAGGTGGGTGGATCACCTGAGGTCAGAAGTTCAAGACCAGCCTGACCAACATGGTGAAACCCCGTCTCTACTAAAAATACAAAACATTAGCCGGGCATGGTGGCAGGTGCCTATAGTCCTAGCTGCTCAGGAGTCTGAGGCAGGAGAATCACTTGAACCCAGGAGGCAGAGATTATAGTGAGCCGAGATTGTGTCATTGCACTCCAGCCTGGACAACAAGAACAAAACTCCATCTCAAAAATAAATAAATAAATACAAATAAAAGAAAATTCAAAGGATTTCTCTGAACTTAAAACCTGCAACAGTTTATATCATTGAAAATAAGAATGGGGAAGAGACAAGGGAAAAAAAGAAAGGTATAAGAAAGATAGGATATGGAGTAGGAGAGAGACAATAATTCAGTTATTAATCCAGAACCGTGCACACTTATTCAATCTCAGGAGTCCCTAAAACAAGCCTAGTGTCATGGCCTTGTCTGAATAAAGATTAGGATGCCTTCCTATGGTAGATTTTGCCTCCCAGGCAAGCAAGCAAGGAAGGAGAACGGAATGTTGATAAGGAGTTAAAAGATATCTTTTTCAAAGAGTATCAGTCCTAGATAACTTGTGGAATTAATTGGGTCCTGTTCAGGGGGGACATCTTCTTCAAATATCTTTTTTTTTTTTTTTTTTTTTTTTTGAGTCAGAGTTTCACTCTTGTCGCCCAGGCTGGAGTACAATGGAGCAATCTTGGCTCCCTGCAACCTCCACCTCGCAGGTTCAAGCGATTCCCCTACCCTAGCCTCCCAAGTAGCTGGGATTATAGCCCACCACCACACCCAGCTAATTTTTTGTATTTTTGGTAGAGTCGGGGTTTCACCATGTTGGCCAGGCTGATCTCAAACTCCTGACCTCAGGTGATCCACCTGCCTCAGCGTCCCAAAGTGCTGGGATTACAGACGTGAGCCCCTGCACCCGGCCTCAAATATCATATTTAAAGCACTGCTCCGTTCCTCACCAACACTGAGCAGTTTTGTAAGGTGTTATAAGCTTGTTGGACACCGGGTGCTATACGGTCTCAGGAGTTATGCAATGATAAACTGAATCTAACTAGGTGCTTCCAATGTATCAGACTTAATGCCATTCTCTTCCCATTCAGATAATTCTATCCAGACCATGATTACTTTTGACCAAGGAGGAAGGTGGAAGCACCTGAGGAAGCCTGAAAACAGTGAATGTGATGCCACAGCAAAAAACAAGAATGAGGTTTGTTTACTCCAGCGTGTGCAGAGCACAGCAGCCTTTCCCTTGTGCTCTGATCAGCGCCGGGCTTTTGGATGATGAAGTTTCATACTTGATTAGGGTCCTCAGCATAAGTTGGAAAGTTTGGAGATGAGAGTAATGAAATTAACTTAGAATTTGGGAAGTAAGAACTGAGGAAAGGTCAGAATACTATGGATTATCTGTCTTTTAAAGAAGAACAAAACTGAGGGCTAACAATTTGTGGTTCACTGAACTGCTGAATGAAAACAATGGCCAGAGGGGCTGGTGATTAGTTAGGGGTTAGTATGGCAGTTGGGAGAATTGAGAAATTCTGCAAGAAGCCACAGCTCCACCTTTCATAAGCAGTGCACAGCCTTGCTCATCGGAAGCAAGAGGAAGAGGATCCACTCTTCCTTTCCCTCTGCCTAGGCTCCCATGGCCACTGGAGGCCTCCTAGCCGAGAGATTGGGAGCTGGAACTACAGAGGTGTCACTCCAGGAGAGCCAAAGCCAGGAGTGACAGGCCTTGGCAGGCAAGGAAAAAAGGGAGGAAAACAAGCTTTTTGTCTGGCTCTCACAGAATGTGAGAGGAGCTTGCGGGGACAGCTGGAGTTTCCTTCAGAAATGGAAGTACCGGTAGTTCCCGAGCTCTGCTCAGGATCCCTGTCACTGACATACACTTTGCTCTTCTAGGCAGGGTTTTCTGTTTTGTTTTAAGAGCCTCAGATGGTGAGAGAAACTGTGCCTCCCTACACCACCCCACACACTCTCCTCCTTTACACTCTCAAGCGCTGTTGCGTCTGCGCAACCCTCTGACTCATTTCCCATCTCCGCCTTGGCCCTGCCTGGCGGCCGCCCTCCTCATCTTAAGCCTGGGCAGCTTCAGTGGCCTCTGTGTTTGCCTTGCCACCTGCAGGCTCCCCATGCCCCTCCCTCCCCAGCACTGGATGTGGCTCCCTTGGCCTGTGGATGGCCCCTGTCCCTGACCTGGTGAGTGAAGATTCTCTCCTGGTGGGCCCTCTGTCGCCTTTTCATTGTCATTGCCCACCTTATCCCTGACACACCCCTTGTAACCCACCACCTTTCCCTGAGCACCCACACTATTCCTGGGGGACGTTGTGCCTGTGTTTCCCAACCCCAGTGGACTAGGATTAATGGAAATCCTAACCATCCTCAGTGACCATCCAGTTAGAACTAATCATTCCTCTTCATTGCATTAATAGTTTTGAACCTCTTCTTTTTTAAAAAATTGTAGTAAAATATACATAATGTAATATCTACCATTTTAGCCATTTTGACCCGCTTTTAGAGCACTAACTTTCATTTGGCTGCATACCTCAAGTTGTTTCTGACATATTTTCATTTTTCCCCAGCTTTATGGAGACAAAATTGACAAATAAAAATTGTACATATATTTACAGTGTACACTGTGATGTTTTGATATATGTATACATTGTGAAATGATTATCATAGTCAAGCTAATTAACATATACGTCACCTCAAAATTATCTTGGGGGTGTGTGTGTGTGGTGAGAACATTTCAGATCTAATCTCATGGCAAATTTCAATTAACAGTACAGTATTCTAGACTATAGTCACAATGTATATTTTCTCTCTAAAGCTTATTCATCCTGCATAACTGAAACTATGTACCCTTTGGCCTTCATCTCCCCCTACCCCAAGCTCCTGGAAGGCATAATTCTCCCTGCTTCTGTGAGTTTGACATTTTTACATTCCACTTTTAAGTGAGATCATGCAGTCTTTGTCTTTCTGTGCTGGGCTCATTTTACTTAACATAACATAATGCCTCTCAGTTTCACCGTGATTTTACAAATGACAGGATTTCCTTCTTTTTTTTTTTTTGAGACAGAGTCTCACTCTCCCACTGAGGCTGGAGTACAGTGGAGCGATCTTGGCTCACTGCAACCTCCGCCTCCCCAGTTCAAGCCATTCTCCTGCCTCAGCATCCTGAGTAGTTGGGATTACAGGCATGTGCCACCACGCCCAGCTAATTTTTGTATGTTTAGTAGAGACAAGGTTTCACCATGTTGGGCAGGCTGGTCTCAAACTTCTGACCTCAGGTGATCTGCCTGCCTTGGCCTCCCAAAGTGCTGGAATTACAGGCATGAGCCACCATGCCCAGCAGGATTTCCTTCTTTTTTAAGGCTGAATAATATTCCATTTTCTTTATCCATTCATCCATTAATGGATACTTAGGTTGATTCTGTATATTGGCTACTATGAATAATTCTGCAGTGGACATGGGAGCACAGATATCTTTTGGACATACCAATTTCATTTCTCTTGAATATATACCCAGAAAAGGGATTGCTGCCAGTTCTGTCCTTCATTTTCTTTTCTTTCTTTTTTTCTTTTTTTTTTTTTTTTTGAGATGCAGTCTCACCCTTTGGCCCAGGCTGGCTGGAGTGCAGTGTAGTGATCTCAGCTCACTGAAACCTCTGCCTTCCGGGTTCAAGTGATTCTCCTGCCTCAGCCTCCCGAGTAGCTGGGATTAAAAGTGTGCATCACCACACCCAGCTAATTTTTTGTGTCTTTAGTAGAGATGGAGTTTCACCATGTTGACCGGGCTGGTCTCAAAACCCCTGACCTCATGACCTGCCTGCCTCCACCTCCCAAAGTGCTGGGATTACAGGCATGAGCCACTGTGCCCTGCCCTGCTGTCCTTCATTTTTTAGGGAAATTTCTTACTGTATTGCATAGTATAGTAGCTGTATCAGGTAACATTCCCACCAACAGTGTGCAGGGTTCCCTTTTTTCCATGTCCTTGCCAATACTTATCTTTTATCTCTCTGCTAATAGCCATTCTAACTCGGGTGAGATGGTATCTCATTGTGATTTTTATTTGTATTTCCCTCATGATTAGTGACGTTGGACATTTTTTCATATACCTGTTGGCTATATTTGTATGTCTTTGTTTGAGAAATGGCTGTGCAGGTCCTTTGCCCGTTTTTTAGTTGGATTATTTATTTTCTTGCTATTGATTTGTTTGGATATTAACCCCTTATAAAATGTTTAGTTTGCAGATATTTTCTCCCATTCCATATATTGTCTCTCTTCTCTCTTTTGGTGATTTCCTTTGCTTTGCAGAAGCTTTTTAGTTTGATGCAATCTCATTTGTCTGTTTTTGTTTTTTGATGCCTGTGCTTTTAGGGTCATATCCAAAAAGCCATTGCCCAGATTAATGTCAAGAAGCTTTTTTCCCTATGTTTCCTTCTAGTAGTTTTTCAGTTTCAAGTCTTACATTTATGTCTCTAATCCATTTTGAGTTGATTTTTGCATATGACATGAAATAAGGATTGAAATTCATTCTTCTACATACAGATATTCAGTTTTCCCAGCACCATTTATTTAAGAGCCTGTCTTTTTCACATTGTGTGTTCTTGGCACCTTTGTCAAAGATAAGTTGACAATAAAATGCATAGATTTATTTCTGTGCTCTCTATTCTGTTCCATTGGTCTATATGTGTTTTTAATGCCAGTACCGTGCTGTTTTGATTACTATTGCTCTATAGTATATTTTGAAATTAGGTAGCATGATGTCTCCAGCTTTGTTCTTTTTGCTCGCAATTGCTTTGCTTATTCAGGGTCTTTTGTGGTTCCATATAAGAATTAGGATTGTTTTTCCTATTTCTGTGAAAAATACCATTGGAATTTTTTTTTAAGAGGCAGGGTCTTACTCTGTCACCCAGGCTGGAGTCCAGTGGCATAATCATAGCTTACTGCAGCCTCAAATTCCCTGGGCTCACTCAGTCCTCCCACCTCACCCTCTGGAGTAGCTAGGACTACAGGCATGTACCACCACACCTGTCTAATTTGGTATTTTTTGGTAGAGATGGGTTTTTGCCATGTTGCCCAAGCTGGTCTCGAACTCCTGGCCTCAAATGATCCTCCCACCTCAGCCTCCCTGCTGGGATTAGATGTGAGCCACCACACCTGGTTGTTTTGTTCTTGATGTACCTCAAGTACCTAAAAAAGTGCCTGAAATATAGTAGGTACTCAGTAAACATCTGATTAATTAATTAATATGTTTTTGTATTGTTCTGTGTTGTCGCAGAAAGAGGGTTATTTATAACCATATAAGAGTAAAAAAAGACAGTCAAAATAGTAGGCATTGCATCTGTAGATCACTTTGGGTAGTATGGACATTTTAACAATATTAATTATTCCAATCCAGGAACATAGGATATATTTTTTTTTTTTGTCATCTTCAGTTTCTTTCATCAGTGTTTTGTAGTTTTTAGTATACAAATCTTTCACCTCCTTGGTTAAATTTATTCCTAAGTTGTTTTTGTTTCTGTTTTTGTTTTTAAGTTTCTTTCTTGTGCTGTTGTAGATGGAATTTTCTTGATTTCTTTTTTGGATAGTTTGTTTTTAGTGTGCATTGTATTTTTATATGTTGATTTTATAATCTGTAACTTTTTGAATTTGTTTATTAGTTTTAACAGGTTTTTGGTGGAGTCTTTAAAGATTAAGGATTTTTATATATAAGTTTATGTCACTTGCAGACAGACAATTTTACTTCTTCCTTTCTGGTTTGGATGTCTTTTATTTCTTTTTCTTGCCTAATTGCTCTGGCTAAGACTTCTGTTGCTATAATGAACAGAAGTGGTGAGAGTGGGCATCTTTGTCTTGTTCCTGTTTGAGATATTGACCTGTAACTTTGTTTTCTTCTACTGTCCTTGTCTAGTTTGGATAGCAGTGTAATACTAGCCTTATAAAATGAGTTTGGAGGTCTTTCATTCTCTTCAATTTTTAGAAGAGTTTGAGAAGGATTGGTATTAATTCTTCTTTGAAGAATGTTTGCTAGAATTCACCATTGAATCCATCAGGTCCTAAGCTTTTCTTGTTGGGAGATTTTTGATTACCAATTGGGCGTCCTTACTCTTTTTTTTTTTTTTTTTTTTTTTTTTTGAGACGGAGTTTCAGTCTTGTTACCCAGGCTAGAGTGCAATGGCGCGATCTCGGCTCACTGCAACCTCCACCTCCTGGGTTCAGGCAATTCTTCTGCCTCAGCCTCCCGAGCAGCTGGGATCGCAGGCATGCACCACCATGCCCAGCTAATTTTTTGTATTTTCAGTAGAGACGGGGTTTCACCATGTTGACCGGGATGGTCTCGATCTCTTGACCTCGTGATCCACCCGCCTCGGCCTCCCAAAGTGCTGGGATTACAGGCTTGAGCCACCGCGCCCGGCCCCTCCTTACTCTTAATAGTATGTTCAGATCTTCTATTTCTTCTTCATGATACAGTCTTGGTAGGCTGTATGTGTCTAGAAAGTCATTCATTTTTTTCTAGATTATCTAATTAGTTGATGTATAATTGTTCATAGTAGACTTTTATTATCCTCTGTTTTTCTGTAGTATCAGTTGTAATGTCTCTTCTCACATTTCTGATTTTAGTTGAGTCTTCTCTTTTTTCTTATTCTAATTAAGTTTGTCACTTTTTTATCTTGTCAAAAAAAAAAAAACAAATTTCATTGATCTTTCCTATTATTTTTCTAACTTCTATTTCACTTATTTCTGTTCTGTTATTATTTCCTGCCTTCTGCTAACTTTGGCCTTAGTTTGTTCTTCTTTTTCTAGTTCCTTGGTGTGTAAAGTTAGGATTTTTGAGATTTTTTTTTTTTTCTTAATTCATCACCATAAACTTTCTTCTTAGAACTGCTTTTGCTGCATCGCTTAAGATTTGGTATGTTGTGTTTCTCCTTTCCTTTGTCCCAAGATGTTTTTTTGATTTCCCTTTTCTTTGACCCATTGGTTGTTCAAGAATATGTTGTTCGATTTCCATATTCGTGTGAATTTTCCTCCTGTTTTTGATTTCTAGTTTCATAATGTTGTAGTTGAAAAGATACTTGAGGTGATTTCAGTCTTCTCTTTATTAAGGCTTGTTTTGTGGCCTAACATATGAACTATCCTGGAGAATATTCTGTGTGCACTTGACAAGAATGTATATTCTGCTGCTGTTGGATAGAATGTTCTGTATATGTCTGTTAGGTCCATTTGTATGGTGTTGTTCAAGTTTGCTCTTTCCTTATTTGTTTTCTGTCTGGATGATTTATCCAGTGTTGAAAGTATAGTATTGAAGTCCCTTACTATTATCGCATTATTGTCTACCTCTTCCTTCAGTTCGGTTAATGTTTGATTTATACATGTAGGTGCTCTAATGTTGAGTGCATTTATATTTACCATTGTTATATGGTCTTAATGAATTGACACCTTTATCGTTGAGTAGTAACTTTATCTCTTATGATAGTTTTTGACTTAAAGTCTATTTTGTCTGATATAAATATAGCCACTGCTCTCTTTTGGCTACCATTTGTGTGGAGTATTTTTTTTTTTTATCTCTACTTTCAGCTTGTGTGCCCCCTTACACACATAGTCCTTTACAGATGGCTTCAGCAGGGAAAGCCCTTACCAGGTAGCTCATCCAGAGATTCTTGGGGGGCAACTTATAGGTTATGCAGGTAGGTGGGCCTGGTGCCGTGGTCTTTGGGGGTAGCTTGGAGGCTGGATCCACTGAGGCAGGCCTGGCAGTAGGATCTACTAGGGTAGACCTGTTAAGTGGATCTTTAGATGGAACACCTGGATCTTTAGGTGGAACACCAGTAGATATACAGGAGCCAACCTGATGCAGGGGTGGGCCCTACCCAGAGCCTGCAGGGGCCGGCCTGATGCAGGGGTCCACTTGGCTGGGTCCTGGGGCCTGGCACCTTGGGGGCAGGCCTAGAGCCTGGGTCTGTGAGAGTGGGCCTGGAGCCTTAGACACTGGTTTCTTAAAGACAAGACTGGATCTTATTTCAAACCACCACCACATCTCTTACAGTGTCTGAGGTATATCAGGTGGTTATCAGGTTTATTTGTGTAGAGTCATGCTTTAAACATTTGTCAGAGGCTTTGATGTAATGCAAAAATAAACTGAGACAGGTTACATGTGAGGAAATAATTGTATATTTGCTTCCAAATATTCTAGTACGTTTCAGAATCAAGAGTATGCCACTGAGCTACAACTCAACAACAAATAAATAGCCTGGATAAAAAATAGGCAAAGAACTTGAATAGACATTTCTCCAAAAAAGATATAGAAGTGACTAACAAGCATATAAAAAGAATCTCAGCATCACTAATCATTAGTAAAATGCAAGTCAAAACCGCAATGAGTCTCCTCACACAGATTAGGGTGGCTACTATTTTAAAAAGTGTTGGCAAGGATATGGGGAAATTGGAGCCCTGGTGCACTGTTGGTGAAAATGTAAAATGGCGCAGCTGCTACAGAAAGCAGTATAGTAGATCCTTAAAAAATTAAAAATAGAATTATCATACCCAGCAATTCCACTTCTGGGTATATACCCAAAAGAATTGAAAGCAGGGTCTCAAAAAGATATTTATACACCCATGTACATAGCAGCATTATTCACAATAGCCAAAAGGTAGAGGCAGCTTGTGTCTATTGACAGATAAATGAGTAAATAAAATGTGGGGTGTATGTGGATACAGATACACACATACACAAATAAATAATATTTAGCCTTTAAAAGGAAGAAATTCTGACATAGCTATTAATACAATATGGATAAGCCTTGAGCACCTTATGCCAAGTGCAATAAGCCAGACACAAAATGATAAATATTATATTATTCTACTTATATGAGGTACCTAGAGTAGCCAAATTCATAGAAACACAAAGTAAAATGGTAGTTTCCAGGAGCTGGCAGGAGGAAGGAAGTGGGGAACTGTTGCTTAATTGGTGATTGAATTTTATAAGATAAAAAAGTTTTAGAGATTTTGTTGTACAACAATGTGAATATACTTAACACTACTGAACTATATTCCTAAATAAATAGTTAAGATGGTACATTTATCTAGGTCTGGGTTAACTTAAAGTTTTATTGGAAGGGCTCTGTAAGATGATTAAAGAAATTGTCTCTGGTTTTAATCTAAGCCTTTGTTTCTTCACAGTGCAGCCTTCATATTCATGCTTCATACAGCATCTCCCAGAAACTGAATGTTCCAATGGCCCCACTCTCAGAGCCGAATGCCGTAGGCATTGTCATTGCTCATGGTAAGGAGCTCCCACTCACCACCTCCAGCTGGAACAGTGGCTGAGCACACCGAAACTTAGCCACAGGCCCTGAACCCTCTGAGAAGAAACACTGTGGATGTTTTTACATTCCTTTGGTAGAATTTCTTACATTATAACAATACTTTGGGTTTTTCATCAACTCCCATCAGAAAGAGCAACACAATTTCTCCCAAGTTCTGGGGAGCTACTAAAAGAGGCTTGATGGGAAATAATCAGAATAAATTCATTCAAAATTATTCACTCATGAGTAATTCCTCTCTGTTTCATTGCCTATTTGTGCTGATGAGATGGCGGATTATGTTGCAGGTAGCGTGGGGGATGCCATCTCAGTGATGGTTCCAGATGTGTACATCTCAGATGATGGGGGCTACTCTTGGACAAAGATGCTGGAAGGACCCCACTATTACACCATCCTGGATTCTGGAGGCATCATTGTAGCCATTGAGCACAGCAGCCGTCCTATCAATGTGATTAAGTATGCATGAGCTCATCTCACACACTGTCTGCATAGAGGGCAACTAGGGGAATGTTCTGCAGTTTACTGGGGGGATGTTACAGACCATGATTCAAATTTTTGCATTCGACAGAGCTGTAGGTAAGATTCTAGAAAGGATTGCTTTTAATTGGCAGCACAGATTAAATGGTATTGCTTTTTCCTCTGACTGCCTCTAGCTAACAAATTTGTCACTTCTTAAAAACATTCTTTCTGAGTCGGGTGCAGTGCCTGTAATTCCATCACTTTGGGAGGCCAAAGCAGGAGGATCACCTGAGCCCAGGAGTTCAAGACCAGCCTGGGCAACATAGCAAGACCTTGTCTCTAATATTATTTCAATATTAATTGGAATAATTAATTGTTATTTATTTCAAGGCCATGCACCACGTCCAGCCTTGAATTTATTAATTTAAAACCCAGTTCTTACCTGGGTCACTCTCCTCTCTTTCCTTTGAAATAACTTCTGTAAAGGTATTTACTTTCATACTCTGAATTAATCTCTTTTCCCTAGCCTGATAACCACGGACACTAAAAGTTAAAAGAGTTGGCCGGGTGCAGTGGCTCACACCTGTAATCCCATTGGCAGGTGGATCATGAGGTCAAGAGATCAAGACCATCCTGGCCAACATGGTGAAAGCTCGTCTCTACTAAAAATACAAAAATTAGCTGGGTGTGGTGGCATGTGCCTGTAATCCCAGCTACTCAGGAGGCTGAGGCACAAGAATCGCTTGAACCCAGGTGGTGGAGGTTACAGTGAGCTGAGATTGCAGCCACTACACTCGAGCCTAGTGACAGAGCAGACTCTACCTCAAAAAAAAAAAAAGTTAAAATAGTTCTGAGCCAATAAGCCATCACCTAAATATAAGGGGTTTTGTCTGGTTTGGGATCAAACAGCCAGAGTGGTTTCCTGAATTCCCAGTACACGTTGATTCTCTGTCATGATCTTTCTCTAATTGTGGTTTCAGGTTCTCCACAGACGAAGGTCAATGCTGGCAAACCTACACATTCACCAGGGACCCCATCTATTTCACTGGCCTAGCTTCAGAACCTGGAGCTAGGTCCATGAATATCAGCATTTGGGGCTTCACAGAATCTTTCCTGAGCAGCCAGTGGGTCTCCTACACCATTGATTTTAAAGATATCCTTGAAAGGAACTGTGAGTGTCTCCTCTGATCTTTTCTACCAGAAACTTGTAAGCTTATTTTCCTAAATAATCAATATGGTTTAATTTATTTTGGCTGAAATCAGCAGATACATATGCATATGAAAGAGGATTGACAGATGTTTTGTATGGGTGATTAAGTAATGGAATGGCATCAGAAAAACAGCCTCCTTGGTGCTAGCACTGTCCAGGAGAAATATGAGGGCCACATATGTCATTGAAATTATTCTGTCAGCTACGTTATAAAAGTGAAAAGGAAGGTGATAGTAATAAAATAAGCTTAATAGATCCAAAATATTATCATTTCAACATTAAGCAATATTAAAGGCCGAGAAAATAGCTTCAGGAAAGGATTCACAGTGTGCATTGCACAGTGTTCCCGAAGTGTCACAAGCAAACCCTGACCTCAGTGCCAAACAAAGGTGCTGGCATTATACTAAGAGATAAGTAGGATAAAGAAAAACCCTGGAGAAAGGATGACCTGTAGTTGCGAGTTGGCATAATACAATAAAATACTTAACGTTTGCAGACGTTAAGCTCCAAATTCAACTTCAGTTCAGTTTGGTCCTTTGAGACTGTGTCATGGGCTCATTTCCTCAGCATGTTGATTCAGTGACTCCTAAGGGAGCAGACCCTTGGTTTGAACCTTACTTTTCCATAAGATGTTCAAATAGATGTATTGCCTGAGGGTCGCTGTCATCTAAATCCATTCAGTAGGCTATACAGAAGCTGGCTTAGGAGTTCTCCCCTCAGCAGTCAGTTCTCCAGTTACCCCTAAAGTTTAATGTCATTAAAAGATTTGTTAAGCACCTGCTCTTTATCAGGCTCTATGCTGGTCTTCATATCCCGAAGGATAAAAACCTAATCCACTGTCTTTAGGTCACAGGCTTTGAGTCGTTTTTCCAGTAGATGATACGACATACTAAGCCAGAAACCATGTTTATCAACAATCTGCATTTGAGAACCGGTCAACTAGAGCTAGAAGTCTAGGAAGAGGATGTTTTCCCTTCTGCTTTAAGCCAATGAACACATGGTGAAATTGAACCTGTGCTCTTGGCTAATTAGTATCTTGTCCTAAACAAAGAGCTCTCTGGCCCTGAGTGGAGAATATCTGGTTGCTTACCTATGACAGCTCCTGCTGACTGAGAACGTAGGTATGCAAGACACACAGACAGCAGCCTCTTAGTTATCTTAGTTTGGAAGGAACTTCAGAGATTTTCTATCCATCTTCCCACTTTAAAACAAATAGAGTTTTTCCTAGTCCTCAGATGGATGTTGAGATGGAAAGAATACTCTTTTGGCACGAGGAAATGCAATTGCTAGTAGGCTCTAGACTAATGTAACTTTTTGTTTGCAATTCCAAAATGAAGCAATAGGTTGAGTCAGACATTCCCACTTTCCCTCTCCTTGTTCTTCCTATAGCCTGGCAGCTGCCTCCCGTGGGTGGGTTCTGTGCTGTGCACTTTCCTGAACAGTCTCTCTCTCCTTTAGGTGAAGAGAAGGACTATACCATATGGCTGGCACACTCCACAGACCCTGAAGATTATGAAGATGGCTGCATTTTGGGCTATAAAGAACAGTTTCTGCGGCTACGCAAGTCATCCGTGTGTCAGAATGGTCGAGACTATGTTGTGACCAAGCAGCCCTCCATCTGCCTCTGTTCCCTGGAGGACTTTCTCTGGTATCAGCATTCCTCAGATTGCTCTGTCTCCCGTTCCCTGTTGGAGGAGGTGAAAGACAGTTTCCTTATACGGCTAACAAATATTGAAATCCAGCCGGGTGCAGTGGCACACATCTGTAATCCCAGCACTTTGGGAGGCCAAGGTGGATGGATCACTTGAGGCTAAGAGTTCAAGACCCCAGCCCGGCCAACATGGTGAAACTCTGTCTCTACAAAAAAAAAAAAAATTAACCAGGCATGGGGATGCATGCCTATAATCCTAGCTGCTCAGGTGGCTAAGACACAAAAATCACTTGAACCTGGGAGGCAAACGTTGCAGTAAGCCAAGATTGTGTTACTGCACTCTAGCTTGGGCAACAGAGCAAGACTCTTTTTGTTTTTTGAGATGGAGTCTCGCTCTGTCACCTAGGCTGGGGTGCAGTGGCGTGATCTCGGCTCACTGCTACTTCCACCTCCCAGGTTCAAGCAATTCTCCTGCCTCAGCCTCCTAAGTAGCTGGGACTACAGGCACCTGCCACCACACCCGGGTAATTTTTGTATTTTTAGTAGAGACAGGGTTTCACCATATTGGCCAGGCTGGTCTCTAACTTCTGACCTTGTGATCCACTCACCTCGGCCTCCCAAAGTGCTGGGATTACAGGCATGAGCCACCGCACCCAGCCAAGACTGTTGTCTCAAAAAAATTGAAACCCTTTTCCCCATCAGTGTAGAACTGCTGCTTCTTATCAAGGAAACTGAGGCACAAAGAAAGGAAACCAAAATTGTTAATAATTGGACAGATAATATAATCACATTAGACAGTTAATTATTGGGCAGAACCAGCAACAAACCCCAGAAATCCTGAGTTGACAGTGGTGGGAAGGAGAGAAGTGATATAAGAAAGAAGAGAATAATACAAACAAAAATCTGCAGGAAATGAAAAGACAAAAACACCAAAAAAAAAAAATGGTAGAGGAGCAAAGAGGAAATTGGACTTGAGAAAACAGCCTGAGACCTGGCATGGTGGCTCATGCCTGTAAACCCAGCACTTTGGGAGCCCTAGGTGGGCGCATCACCTGAGGTCAGGAGTTCGAGACCATCCTGAGCAATATGACAAGACCCCATCTCAAACCAAAAAGAAAAAGAAAACAGCCTGACAGCGTGAGCTCAGCAGGTGGGACACTAGGTTTTGGATCCTCTCCAAGAATAAAGACAGAGAGATGGTGGTTGGCCCTAAGACTAGAGGTGACATCAGTATAGTCATGGTCCCATCAAGGTTTAGAGGCCATCAAAGTGGACTCCCTAGAGTTCAGGATCATCCAGGCTTAAGGATTAGTTGCTTGGCTGGCATAGGGTTACTTGATTATATAAGGGCAAGGAGTCCCTGGATGGCATAAATGAGGTAATTTTCAGGCAAATGAGCGGAACTGCTTCACATCACAGATAAAATCTGTGGAACTTGTTACCTGCAAAAGATACTGACACGAAATAAAAGTAGATCCTAAAGGATTTGGACAAAGAAGGCAGGCAGATAGTAGCCGTGGCCCTGGGCATGATGTTCTCTCAAACCACAGGTGACAATAGAATACAGGTCGAACCAAAATGCAGATCTGACACAGTGTGATTCCTCCTGCATGGCTCACACCTGTGTTTGCCATGCTCAAGGGTCCACCCTTTTCTGTTTCCGTAAGGATCACCTTTGGTGTTCCAGTAGGGCTAGAGGTCATCAATGAGCCTGTAATACTCTAAAGGATTCTCTCCCATCCTCGACTCCATGTATGCCAGGCTCTTCACCTGTGCTTCTCCTCTTCTCCAACTATGCCATGGTTCTTCAGAGCTCCAGGCCTTTGCACATGATGCCTCCTCTGCCTGGAAAGTCTCTCCACAGTCCCTGCTTTACCCGCAAGTCTGGCGACTTCCCACTTAGCCTTTCGTACTTAGCTTAGGTATCACCACTAGATGGGCTTTCCCTCATCTAGACCCTCAGAGTTCTATTACAGCACTTACTATGTTTTAATTACTTTTTTTTTTTTTTGAGATGGAGTTTCACTCTTGTTGCCCAGGCTGAATCTCAGCTCACTGCAATCTCTGCCTTCTGAGTTCCAGTGATTCTCCTGCCTCAGCCTCCCGAGTAGCTGGGATTACAGACATGCACCACCATACCCGGCTAACTTTGTATTTTTAGTAGTGATAGGGTTTCTCCATGTTCGTCACGCTGGTCTCGAACTCCCGACCTCAGGTGATCCACCCACCTCTACCTTTCAAAGTGCTGGAATTACAGGCGTGAGCCACTGCTCCCAGCCCTTTAATTACTATTTATAGGTTTGCTTCCACCATTAAGCCTCACATTTCTTGGGAGCATATTATATTTGATAATAATGTAGTAAGCATGATAGCAGCTAACATTTATTGAGCACTAACTCTGTGCGAGGCACTATCCTGGGCAATTTACATTTAACCTCACAACAGAGAGGACGTGACTGACTTGCTCATGGGAATTGGAAGAGCTGGGATGTGAAGGTGGCATCTCACCTCCAGAGCCCACATGTTTGGAAATTGGGTCCTTTATTAGTGAGAAGGGTACTCACAAAATCCAGAATTTTTGGATTGAGTACCTAAAACTCTCACCTGAATTTCCTCCTGTTATAGGAAGGGTGATATCTTCAGCATCTTTTGTTCTCTATACCCACTCTCCTAAATACTTAACAGGAAAACCTTGAAATACAAGCGGCATCTATATATTCCCCAAATACTCATTTAATACCAGCTATGCACAGGCAATGAAAAAAGTGATAATGGAAAATTTGTTGCAAAACAGAAGGTGGCAGATGCCATGGGGATTTAGAAAAGGAAGAGAATATTTCATCTAGAGCTGAAAGGAAGTGGGTCACAGAAGGCCTTGTTGAGGAGGTGGTATGAGCTGAGCATTGGCAAATGGTAGGATTCGAACATGAGCATCTGGGAAGAAGCAGGTCATCAACGCCAGTGGACTGCTGTGAGCAGAGACACCAACAGCATGATCAAGGAAGGGTGTTCTGGAAGATAGGCCATTGGGGAAGTCATAGTAGCCATGATAAAGAAGTAAGGGTCCGAAAGGAGGATGCTCAGGCTAAGTGTTCCACTGCCATAGTGGGAAGGAAGTAGTGTCATGGGCAAATGCGGAAGGGATAAGGAGAGTCCGGCACAAAGGAGAAACGTCTTGTTTCTTTGAGGTTTTGTTAGCATACTTAGGTGGTGATACCCGGCATATATTTGAAATATAGGATTCGAACTTGAGAGAGGTAAAACCTGGAAGTTTTAGTTGTAACCCCAAAATAGTTGTGATCACTAAGGGAGAACAGACAGAGAAAAAGCAAGAGAATGCATTCTACCTCCCCCCCACTCCTTGGCAAAAGACTACATTTATGGGTTAGGAAAAAAGAAGAGCATACGGTGGCCAGAGACACAGATGAGTGCAGCTTTGCCATTGCCAAGGTGGGCAGGGCACAACGGTGTGTCAGATGCTGCAGAATGGGTGGTCGGGGGAATGTGACCAGAGGCAACTCCACTGAATTTGATGATTATTGAGCCTTGGGGACACTTCTAACACTCATTTTCTTTTTTCTTTTCTTTTTTTTTTTTTTGAGATGAGGTCTCTCTGTCACCCAGGCTGGAGTGCAGTGGTGTGATCTCAGCTCACCACAACCTCTGCCTCCCATGTCCAAGCGATTCTCCTGCCTCAGCCTCCCGAGTAGCTGGGATTACAGGCGCACGCCACTGCACCCGGCTAATTGTTTGTATTTTTAGTAGAGACGGGGTTTCACTATCTTGACCAGGCTGGTCTTGAACTCCAGACTTCAGGTAATCTGCCTGCCGCAGCCTCCCAAAGTGCTAATATTATAGGCGCGAGCCACTTCGCCCAGCCCAGACACTCACTTTCAAAGTTGTAGAGAGGGTCGAAGCCAAAATGCATGGAAGAAAAAACAAATGCATAAAATACGACAAGTAAAAAAATATTCTTTTGACAAATGTGGGTAGTAAGGGAGAGGTGGGTTAAGGAAGTAATGTCTAAGGTCAAGACATATGCAGGCTAAGGAGAAGCTGCCAGCCGAGTGGGAGAGATTGATTGTTCCCCTCATACTCAGGGAAGCAAGGCCCCAGGGCAGGTTGGAGGAGAGGGACCAAGGATGCTCATGGGGACAGTAGACATTGTTTCTTTGGGGAAAGCAGAAAAAGGAGAGCAATGGAGTGCCCTATGGAGAGATGGAGTAGAATGGGAGGCAAAGACTATACAAGAAGCTAAGAGGAACAGAAGTGGGGAAGACAGAAAAAATTTGCGATGTACCGCAAGAGCAACATCATAATGACCTTTGGAGATAAAGAAAAGAATTTCGGGCTGGGCACAGTGACTCATGCCTGTAATCCCAAAACATTGGGAGGCTGAGGCAGGTGGATCCCTTGAGCTCAGGAGTTTGAGATCAGGCTGGGCAATACGGTGAAACCCTGTCTTTACAAAAAATACAAAAATTAGCCAAGCACAGTGGTTCACGCCTGTGATACTAGCACTTTGGGAGTCTGAGGTGGATGGATCACTTGAGCCCAGTAGTTCAACACCAGCCTGAGCAGTATGGCAGGACCTCATCTTTACAAAAAATTAGCTTAGCATGGTGGTGTGTGCCTGTGGTTCCAGCTACTTAGGAGGCTGAAGTGGGAAGATCACTTGAGCCCAGGTGATTGAGACTACAGTGTTCATGCCACTATGCTCCAGCCTGGACAAGAGAGCGAGACCCTGTCTCAAAACAAAAAAAGAGAGAGAAAAGAATTGCCAACTATCCCTGAATTGAGAGCTGCTGCTGATGCCAAGGTTTCTGTGTGGGTCCCCACCCTACTGCAGGCTGCATCAGTCCCTGCCCTGCTCCTGAGCTGCCTGCAGTGCACAGCCTTGGGACCCTAGCTAGTCCTGCGCCCACCAGGTCAGACCCATAAGCTGCTTTTCCTCAATAAAGCTCTCTCTAGCCAGGCACGGTGGCTCGTGCCTGTAATCCCAGCACTTTGGGAGGCCAAGATGGGCGTATCACGAAGTCAGAAGTTTGAGACCAGCCTGACTGACATGGTGAAACCCCGTCTCTACTAAAAGTAAAAAAATTAGTTGGGCATGGTGGCACGTGCCTGTAATCCCAGCTACTCAGGAGGCTGAGGCAAGGTCACTTGAACCCCAGAGGTGGAGGTTGCAGTGAGCCGAGATGGCACCACTGTACTCCAGCCTGGGCGACAGAGTGAGACTCCATCTCAAAAAAAGAAGCCCTCTCCATGTCTGTTTTCCTAAGTGAGCCTCCTTCAGAGGTGTCACAGGCCTTCCTGAGCTACTTTCTAACAACCCAAGACTGGAATGTTAAGCATCCACTGCCCCACATAACCCTTCATTGCCAGCCACTTACTGTCTTCCAGCTGCTTTGAAAGGTACTTTATTTGCTGACTCTTGCAGTGATTTTGGCTACTACCGTCCAGAAAATGACTCCAAGTGTGTGGAGCAGCCGGAACTGAAGGGCCACGACCTGGAGTTTTGTCTGTACGGAAGAGAAGAACACCTAACAACAAATGGGTGAGGTGGCCTTTTCTCCCTTGTCATGACAGATGAGGTGTCCTTGTTCAGAATGAAAACTTCTTGTCTCCACACTGAGATCCAAGCCCTACTTCAGAGCACTCTTTTTGGAGGGGTTGGGGGGGCAGCAGGATGTGAAGGCCTCCCTCAAGGGAGCTACAAGAGGTAAGCCACAGGTGCTTGGTGTCAGAGGACTCAACCCCACCAACACCAGGAGGCAGAGGGCGAGAGAACAAGCTCGGCCAGATCCTGCACCCCTGCCTTCTGTCCACCACCCCCAGGCAGGGAGGAGAGGCGAGGGGCCCACAGGCAGAATGACAGAAGCGTCCCATCCGCCATGAATGTCCATTGCTCATCTGGCATTTTAGGCACAGGCAGGAAGAGCTCTGTCTGATAGGACTTTCTTTGGTGATGGAAGTGTTCTGTAATTTGCTGTGTCCAATGTGGTAGTCACTAGCCACACGTGGCTATACACACTATTGTAACTGAGGAAGTGAAATTTCCATTTTAATCAATTTTAGTTTCAGTAGCCACCATATTGGACATGCTGCTCTAAAGGGGCCTCATTACCTCCCTCCCCTGATAGCTTCTGCCCTCCCATTTTGTACCACTTGTTAACAAACTTTTTTGGGGTCACATTTGTTTGGCACAGCCTCTTAGGTAGAAAGGACAGGCATGTTCCTGGCAGCAGGGGACAGAGATGCTTAGTTTGCTAAAGGTCTGAAACTACACAAAATATCCCCCAAAACATCCCTGTGGACATCCTCCTAGGCCTGAAAGATGACGTAAGGATGGGAAGTTTTTTGGCACCTTTTCAAGTCATGTTTCCAAGAAATAGGCAGGGACCCAGGAATACATCCTTATCTTATGTTATCAAATCTTCTCTGCCTGGTAGGTACCGGAAAATTCCAGGGGACAAATGCCAGGGTGGGGTAAATCCAGTTCGAGAAGTAAAAGACTTGAAAAAGAAATGCACAAGCAACTTTTTGAGTCCGGAAAAGCAGGTATGTTAAAGTAGGTCTAGTTTTCAGGTACAAATAGGATTTTGTCTTCTGCCAAGAAAAATCAAAGTTAAAGCATTGGGAGTTTTGTTAATGATACAAAGTGGTCAGGCTTCCCTATACATAGGTGGCTGTTAGCATTAAGGATGGGTCACGTAACCCAGTGATAAGCTCACCCTACTGAAAGCTCTTTTCTTACTGAGGGTGAGGGGATGAAATTCTGTAAAGTTGTAAAATTCTTAAAATCATACAGTTGTGGAAAATTCTGAGGCTGAGAGTCATTTAGAAAAGCCCAAAAAGGTTGTCTGTGGGCCAGGCGCAGTGGCTCACACTTGTAATACCAGCACTTTGGGAGTCTGAGGTGGGCAGATCACTGAGGTCAGGAGTTTGAGACCAGCCTGGCCAACAGAGTAAAACCCTGTCTCTACTAAAAATGCAAAAATTAAAATTAAAAAAATTAGTTGGCTGTAGTGGTGCACACCTGTAGTCCCAGTCACTCGGAAGGCTGAAGCAGGAGAATCATGTGAACCCGAGAGGTGGGAGTTGCAGTGAGTCAAGATCCCACCGCTGCACTCCAGCCTGGGCCACAGAGCAAGATTCCATATCCAAAAAAAAACACTGTGAAGGGCCATGACCTGGAGGTGTGCATGTGTGGAAGAGAAGAGCACTGGGCAATAGGTAGGGTGATCTTTGACCAAGTCGTGTTAAGTATCTTCAAAGTGAAAAATTGAGCTATGGTGATGGGCTGGTTTTGATTTAGAAGAAGTTACCTGTCAGGCGCAATGGCTCACACCTCTATAGTTCCAGCACTTTGGGAGGCTGAGGTGGGCAGATCAGTTGAGGCCAGTAGTTTGAGACCAGCCTGGGCAACATGGAGAAACCCCATCTTTAAAAAAAAAAAAGTAGCTGGATGCGGTGGTGCATACCTGTAGTCCTAGCTACTCAGGAGGCTGAGGCAAGAGAGTCACCTGAGCCTGGGAGGTCAAGGCTGCAGTGGGTCGTGATCTTACCACTGCACTCCAGCCTGGGTGACAGACCAAGATCCTGTGTCAATTTAAAAAAAAAAAAAAAAGTTATGAGACTGCATCCAAATCCAACTACCTGTGGATTTGGAGATGCGTAAAGAAGAAACCTCTTGATAAAGAAGCACTAGGCCAGCAGCATGACTTCAGATGCTAAACAGCAGGCCCGTTTCCTAATCCATAATAGGAGAGGTCAAGCTAGACAACCTGCAGCCCCTCCACTCTGCCATCCTAAGGGATGAGGACTGACAAGGGGTGGGATTAAGGAGATGGTGGGAGAGGAGTGTGTGGGTGTGTGTATTTGTAAGGGGGCGAGTTCCTCCTTCTGTGCACCCCTGTCTTGGGCTCCTGGTGGCTGTCAGAGTGTTTGTGTGTGGGATTGCACAGGATTCCCACCCACAGGGACACAGCTTGTTCCAGAATCCAGCTCTACCTCCAATGGGAGACACTGAAAACATATATTCCAGCAGGTAGGTCACATGCAAACAATAATATGACAAGGCTTATTTGTAATAACGTATCAAAAATGAAGTAAAAAAATAAATCTTGGTGTCATATAATGGCCTGCCTGGTATAGCATTGACACAGCTTCTTCACAGATAATGGCCCTGTTCTAGAGTCATTCAGCCCACTGTTATGGTAGTCTCCCTTTCCTGCTCCACCCTTAAGCCCCAAGACTTGTGAACAGTGGTAGTGCAGAGGAGTCATACCTGATCTAGGCAGTTGCCAAGGCTTCCAGTGTAACTTTGACATTTAAGCCACCAAATTTGAAGGTTCAAGGCAGGTGGAATTCAGAAGACTCTATTCCAGCTATGCCAGCTTCTTCTGGTAACACTGAGATGGTTCATCTTGGGGTGTTGGAAAAGAGCCATCATTAAGTGCATCAGGACTGCAGATCATTCATAAAGAGCTGAGGGGAATGAGTGGCTGCTTTGACCTCAGTCCTAGGATATGCATGCCTAAAAGCTTTTGTGTTTGTGTTTTAATTTCTCAAGAATTCCAAGTCAAATTCTGTTCCAATTATCCTGGCCATCGTGGGATTGATGCTGGTCACAGTTGTAGCAGGAGTGCTCATCGTGAAGAAATATGTCTGTGGGGGAAGGTAAGGAACACAAGTCAATCCAAGGTACTGAGTTCAAGCCAGAAAGCCAGTCTAGAGCATATGGCTGAGTCTGCTCTTGGCAAAAACTAGGTACTTGCAAATACTGTTTCTGAAAAATCAGGCCCAAATCTTCTCGTGTCTTACATTTTCATATGTCAACCATGGACTGTGCTTTCTGTGTCTGTGATGCATTCCTGAGTGTATAAAACGGAGAAAGTCCAGAGTCCTGTAAGAAACACCCCTGTGGGGCACACGAGTGTAAAGGAGGTTTCTGTTCACAGATTCCTGGTGCACCGATACTCCGTGCTGCAGCAGCATGCAGAGGCCAATGGCGTGGACGGTGTGGATGCTTTGGACACAGCCCCCCACACTAATAAAAGTGGTTATCATGATGACTCAGATGAGGTGAGGCTATTTCTTCTTGAATGGTAGTCCCCCGTCCCGACACCTGAAAAAAAAACCTGTCTTCTATTCATGATCAAGATATGCCAGGGCGAAGGCAATTTAATAACCCTAAGATTTGGCAAGCCCAGAAACTAGGTGATTGCTTTTGAAGTAAGAGTGTTGTGGTCTGTTGGTAATATAGTGCATGTCTTTTTCAGGACCTCTTGGAATAGCTCTTCAGAGGAGCTGGACCCGGCATGGATGGTGGAACCACAGTACCTCTTACACTCCCTGTGGCTCCAACTTCGGGGAAATAAATTTCCCATTGCGAGGGACCCAGCTCTGTTTCTGCTGCTTCCATCAAAGCCAAAAGGACCTACATTAAAGAAATGCAGGGTGGGGGTGGGGAACCCTGAGCACTTTTTTATAATTGGCTCTGAGAATAGGGGAGACATTTTAAATTCTTTAACTACTTCTTTCCTGTCCTGTGTCTTTGCAAAGTGTGGGCTTTTGTATTGTTTTTTAAGGGAAATGAGATGGAATTTGAAGGGACCTTTTCACTTACCCCACTTGTGTGTGTTCTGCATGGCGCCTGCCCCAGGGCATCTGCCAACTCCAGCATCAGCTCTCACAGTGTACTTGGTACCATCCCTAGGCTCTGCTGGTGACACGAAGCAGCTATATAGATGAAAACAGAGGCTGCAGAGGCTGGCACAGCCTGGCCGGCTTTTCTCCATCTGGGACAGCCCTACTCCAAGAACACTGCACACCAGCTCCTCACACAGCTCCCACTTCCTTTTTTATTTTCCAGAGACCACAGACCACAGTGATTTTTCTTTTCCCCTTTTAAATTAGGCAATACTCTTGTTAATTGCCCTTTGGCAACTAACTTAACCATGTGAATCCCACATAGTAAATCAGGAAAACTTACAGGGCAATATTTTTAACTTGGGGCCGGAAGAAGGGAACAGCAGAGAATTGACTAGATTTAGCACCTATTAAAAGAGAAACTCTCGTTTCTTCTGAGATCTTTCAAACTGTGCTTTGTGTGTGTGCCAGTGGACTTACCCAAGGACAGGGTACAGACTGGGCTGAAAGTCTGCCCAGGCTGAATGATCTCTTCCCTAGAGTTGATTGTCGGGTGCACAGTGTGGCCCCCTGAAGATGGAACCTCACAGTCTTCCATGTTCCCTTTTCACCTGTCGTGTGGCTCATTGCTGAATCATGACAGTGGATGCATATCTGCTGCTTCTTAGATTGCTGTTATACACAGAACCAGGACTAGAGATGTTTTCAGATTTATAGATTTAAAAAATTAGAATTTTATTACCAGGCTCTCCTCCTCACCCCTTTTTTCTGGCTTTACCAAGTAATTTGTTGGGATGAAAATTTTGGAGGAACCAGTTGAAAACACACTTCCAGTCTAGATGATGCTTTGTGCGATACATTAAGTTCTTATTTTGGATTGAAAGAAGTTGTCCATTTGATATTTTTCTAAAACAAATTATAGAATGTGGTTGGGTGAATTCTGGAGTGGTCATATACTAATGGAAAGTTGCAATAATTTGTTTTAATACAGCTTGAATATTTGCTATATAGGAATATAGTATGGAAAGTTTTTGGTCGTAATGTAGCTACTGTGCGGGTCCTAGTTTCTCCCAGTGATTATGATTGGGACATTCTTTGGTAGATACCATTTGCTGCTAGTTTATTTTGTAGCTAGAAAGTCAGTTTTTTTAAAAAAGTGCCAAATTAACTTTTGTCAGAATGTGAGCAGATGGCTAAGTTCTCTCCTCCCCAGAATGGATTAACAGCTGCGTGGAAAGTAGGGGAGGGAGTGGATGGAGAATTTTAGAGACGCTGAAACTGCAGTAGAATTAAGTGAGTCAGGGAGCTTCACTTAGAAAACAAAGTTAAAGCAGATTTTGTGAAGATAATTAATACAGTTAGGGCTGGAGTACACTGGTCGTTTTGCTCATTCATTTTGCATGGTTTTAAATTAGAAATAATTCCAAAGATGCATCAGCTCACAAATGACAAAGCATCAGCCTCTGTCCCACCCTCCCTCCAGCATAAAGTAAATTTGGTGTCCAGAAAAGAACTATTTACACCACTCACCTTTCTCCCAGCATGTACTCACTGTGAGTAGATGTAGGAAACTTAATATTCTTCTCTAACCATATAAAATTTGGGCTCTTTGCTTATAATGATATCTGGGATTTCTGTGGAACTTGGCAAATTTTCAGAGCACCTTCACTCACATAATGTCATTTGAACCTCACAGTGTTCTTGGGATGGAGTCAGTTGTTCAGGGTCACCGTGTGTGTGTGATAAGCAGTGCTGGCTGGCTATCTTCAGAACTCTTGGAAATCTACGCGTGCGAGTGCTGATCTCTGAGCAGGGCTGCCTTCTTGTAGATGACTTGCTGTTCTTTAGGAAAGGATCAGTGGCATTTCTTTCCGAGCAGTATTTAGCACCTTTTTGCCACCTTGGTGAACAGAAGATTCCATTTTCCTGTCTTTCATGGCTGAAATAAAAGTAATGGGAATTTTGAATGTGTTTTTAGAAACCAGCCCTCCCCTCTTTAAGAGTCACTGCTCAAGAGTGCGGGAGTGGACTCTCCACTGATGGGTCTCCCTCCCCATCCTGGTTTCCACTCCAGACTGGCTAGCTCCATTGGTTTGAAGACAGATAGCCAGCCTGGCACATTCTCATTATTGACTAGTTAGCTTTCTTTATCAACCTGCTCACTCACAAATGTATGCCCTCAGCCAGAGAGTAAGAAGCCCAAATCCGTTACAGCTTCTAAAAATATAGATTTCTAATTTGTCCTCCTCATGTTAGGAGCATTATCTTTGAAGGTAAAACATAGTATATCATTGTGTAAACCCCCAGGCTTGATGTAGCAGAAGAGATCGTTTCTGGAGGCTTCAGCAACGGAATTTAGCATTATAAGAGAGATTAGATAGTGTCTCACACCTGTAATCCCAGCACTTTGGGAGGCCAAGGCAGGTGGATCACCTGAGGTCAGGAGTTCAAGACCAGCCTGGCCAACACAGTGAAACCCCATCTCTACTAAAAATACAAAACTTAGCTGGGTGTGTTAGTGGGCACCTGTAATCCCAGCTACTCAGGAGGCTGAAGCAGGAGAATCACTTGAACCAGGAAGGTAGATGTTGCAGTGAGCCGAGATCACGCCACTGCACTCCAGCTTGGACAACAGAGTGAAACTGTCTCTGGGAAAAAACAACAAAACAAAACAAGAGATTGGACATACCAATCCAAAGTGGCCTGAGTTCTTAAATCCAGGTGAGGAATTCACTCTTCTTTTTGCTCTGGACATAAGGGGGCATTGGGCTTTAGTAAGACCAGAGACCAGGCTGATCTCTTCTGTAGGCTGTTAATTCAGTGGGAACCTATTTCAAAGAATAAAAGCCTTCAGAGAGTTGTGGCAGTTCTGGGGCAGGCTCAGAAGAGTGCATAGATCAGGTGTAACTGGAACTTAGAATTTACGTCTGCCTTTGAATGGACTTCGCACTTTCTCTCATGCCCAAGCTGACCTTTCATCCCTGAGAGGCTGGTAATGTGCTGGCTGCCTCCGGCTCCTGCATCAAGTCTGTAAACCAGAGCTAGTTCTCTCGTGGCCTTTGTCACAATACCAGGAAACGGAGAGGAGCCCAGGGCCATCCACACCCACCCCATGGTAACAGAGCTTGCCTGGTGTTTAGTCATTACGTAGTTTCTGGGCCAACCATCCAGGTAGAGGTTCCCTGTTTCCCTTTAGCAGCGCTCTCAAGAGCCTCACACCTGTCCACAATGACCTAGAGTGCATCCTGCTCACTGTCAGTGTAGCCCCTCGCCCCCGTATTCATCCAGGATACTTGGAATTGCTAAAACAGGAAGGGATTGGTCTTTCAACTTTGTTGCCATCTTCCCTGAAGCGGGAAAATGAACATGGACTTAAACGTCCTTTGAACAAAACCAAAGTTTTAAGATTTGCTGTGTGATGAAGTGACAGGGAGGGCCAGAGTCAGCAGGTGCCAGACTTTTGTTCCATCTGCCACAGGTTTGTCCAGCTCGGGTAGCAGCTCTAGGAGCACCATCCTGCCCTAGCAGAGCCCAGGCCTTGCCCTCATGAAGCATCATTGAAATAGCAGGAGCATGTTAATTTCTGGGTTATGTTGCATTATAATAACAATAAGAGTCAGAACATTAATTCGAAACAACCTGCAGTATGCATTTCTTCACACCAGTACATTCTTAAGTGTACTTGTTTATAAGGAATAACATAAACTAATCTGTACCTTTATATATATATATGTGTGTACATATATACATGTATAAACTGTATAGTGTACATGGTAATGATTTATTGCTATGCCCCAGATCCTTAATGTAGTTCTCATCCTCCGCATGCCCTCAGCCACAAGCGGGTGACTGACTGTTCCTTGATGATGGCCCACCTCCTGTGTTTGGACCTCTAGGGAGGAGGGTTTTAGTCATACTCTCCTTATCCTCGTGCACAGAAATGCTCAGGGTCCCCATGTGCCTGTTGTTCAGCCCTCTCCCCTCTCTCGTTCCCTTTCTGAGCATGTGGTCCTTCCCCAAGCTGTGGGACAGCTGCCTTCCTACGAGTGTGTAAAGCAGTATTAAGATCATTACTGCATGTGCCCTAAAAACCCAAGTTTCTATTCCTTTGGGACAGAAAATTGCATGTGAGGTGGGATAATCGAGTTTCAGTGACCCACATCAGTTACACATTAAAACCAGACCCCATAATTCCACAAAATGGAAATAAAACTCAAATTTCTTTAGCATTGTGTAAATAAATCCAAATGTGTTTAACTTTGTACTGGTAATTTTCTGTATATTTGCAATATTTGGGTTAAAAATAAAACAGACTGGACTTTGTTATCTGACCTACTGAAATGACTAAGCTACAGTTTGTTAATATGATACTTTTTCCAGTTTTGCAGCTTCAGAATCAGACTCCAGCAAGCAGAAAATAGGCCAGTGAAAGAGCCAAGACTGTACATTTACAGCATGAAATGTATTGGATCATCTATGAGGAGAATAGTTCACATTTTTGTGAGCTGTTTCCCCCATAAATTACCTAATTTTATCGTTCTTCATTTTCTTTTTTTTTTTTTGAGACGGAGTTTCGCTCTTGTTACCCAGGCTGGAGTGCAATGGCACGATCTCGGCTCACCGCAACCTCCGCCTCCCGGGTTCAGGCAATTCTCCTGCCTCAGCCTCCTGAGTCGCTGGGATTACAGGCACGCACCACCATGCCCAGCTAATTTTTTGTATTTTTAGTAGAGACGGGGTTTCACCATGTTGACCAGGATGGTCTCGATCTTTGACCTCGTGATCCACCCGCCTCGGCCTCCCGAAGTGCTGGGATTACAGGCATGAGCCACCGCGCCCGGCCTCGTTCTTCATTTTCTTGCTCTTTGTACTCATACACATCTTCCTCCTCTGCGTGTGTGTACAACTAGCTTTCTTGTTCTTCCTCCTAGGAAGTCTAGGTACCCATCCCACATACCTTCACAGGTTTCAGTTGCTATACTGTTCCTTCTGGACACAGCAACATATAATAACTCCTTGAATTCTGTGTTCTTTTGAGCAGGTTTGACACCTGACAGCACTGAGAAGTTCAGCCCCTTAATTTCCCATCTGCCCCTCACATTTGTCTTGCTGCTTTTACGGGCCTTATCTCCTCCATTTCATTTAAGGACCTTTGGAGAGTTGCAGCCTTCCTCTCGCAAAGCGTTAAAGAGAGGTTCCTGCCTACCTGTCTGGAGCCTTTAGCCATCCTACCCTGCCAGCCTGGGGCAATATTCCATGTAACACTCTGGCATCTTGGTCTGAAGATGACAGAGCAGAGTCCTTGTTCTTGAGGCCACCATCTGATGGGAGAGTTCCTACCCAGGACATTATCTAAGGTCGTTTTATTTGAAGGAACTCTATTTAACATGGTATTCTAAGATTTCCTGCGCCAGAATCACTGGGTTGGTTTTTTTAAATGCAGATTTCCGAATTCCACCCCAGACCTATTGAATTAGACTTTCTGAAATGCAAACCTTAGGAATCTGTATCTTAAAGTTGATTCTTTACACCTTTGTTTCAACAAAGGGCTGAGACTCAGCCTGAGCCAATTTTCTCACCAAAAGATGGGTTACGTGTTGTGTAAAAGGGGGTGTATTTGGGGTCTCCTGGCCAGGGGACTGTCCACACTTACGGGGTCTTGGCTGAGGTCAAGCGAGAGAAATAGTTGAGAAAGACCTTCAACCCAGTTCTGATATGGTAAAAACTGTCTTCCGCCAATCAAACCAGCCCCAGGGGCCATCCAAGGCCCCATTAAACATTCTCCTGAACCTCAGCCCCTATACCAGCTACAAAGAGGCTGAGCAGCTGTGACCCCAAGATAACACAGGCTCCTGGAATCTTATCAATTACCCCAAAATTCAGGGCAAGTGAGTAAGAAGCCCATTCCTTCAAGTGCACCCGTTTTTTTTCCATGATAAAAATACAGGGGTGGAAAGGGGGCTATGGAAACCCTGCACTTTCCACTCAACTTTAATGTGACTCTAAAACTGCTCTAAAATTACAGCATTTTTTTTTTTTTTTTTTTTTTTTTTAAGGGGGTTTTCGTGTTTTTTCCCAGGCTGGGGGGCAATGGCGGGATCTCGGCTCCCCCCAACCCCCCCCTCCCCGGTTCGGGCCACTCTC